TCTGATGAAACCATCAACTGACATTTCCTTATTCACAGTATCACTAGGCGTCAACTTCAAGAATCGTGAACTGAATTCTGGCTGTAACTGTTCAAGTTTCCCGTTTCTTCTGCTTGCAATTCATCCAAGCATGTTCCAGATCTGTTCTTTATATTAGACTCGACAGCTACCTTTGCAGTTCATCATTCATTTATTCATTCATTCATCAGTGGCTGTACAGCCCTTTGTTGGGCCCTAGCCTCTTCTTCAGTTGCGTAATGTTTTTCACAGAGACGTTAGGACTCATTGTACGAGTGCGCAGTTCGTCATTAACGATATAATAATTAAAGAAACCACGGCCTGTAACACTCAAGAGAGAGAAAATGTAGTAAAGTTTCGGTGCAAAATCCTGAAGGAAAGAGGCCACTAGGAAGACCTAGACGTATATGGACGGATACTATTAAAGAAATGGGGTAATCATAAAGATACAGGAAAGGAAGTTGTGCAGTAGATTAATCTGACTCAGATGGACTCTTGTGAACACGATAATGAAACTTCGGATTCCATGAAACGCTGGTACCTTAAGAAATTGTAAAAATATTATTAAACATTAGTTATCGAATGTCACGGTCACATGGTTGTAAATCCTGAGTCTTATTATGGGGAAAGTAAAGTTGTCTCTGTGCTGATGTAAGCACCATGTCATCTCGACACCAGATTGATGGGAAATGGTTAGTCTCATGCCTCGTCCGCTTTTTTCCAGGGAAAGAACTTTCAGTACCCACTGATAGAAGGCTGGTTGGCCTTCAGAACCTGTCCGGATGCTACAGAGAAGATAAAAATTTTTATCTGTGCCGGGAATCGAACTCCAACATTTCAATCGTTAAGCGGGTAACTTGCTAAGTTATTAAACTGTATTTTGAATGTCCTGACTTCAATTCGCGACCCATAGATCGACCATCTTGACTGCAGTTTCTCGTGGTAATACTCGAGCCCTCAAGGCAAATGGCAGGATTGTATTTCGATACCAACACGACTACCATTCGACGAAATTCGCACGTGTTCTCTCAGCAGTGTGACTCTAAGATGGATATGTTATACAGGGTGTTTCACGACTTTATGGCATAACTGCAGGAGGTGATTTCCTAGGTCTTTGTGATCAAAAAAGTTCATATAAACATGTGTCCGATTTTGGACGGTTATGTATATGGGAGCAGAGAAAACGCGCTGCCCTTCCAACCTCACATGAATGTATGTCATCAGCAATCCGCGCTCCTAAGCGAGGCGGACTAATTCGTACTGTAAATATCGACCCGTCATTTGTAAGTTCATGGAGCAAAGTCATATTAGTGCACTAGGTACCGGTTGTTGTTCAGATGTTACAGAAATTCGCTGTTGTTTGCTGAACCCGAGAATGAATATCGCTTTTACATAAACCCACCGTATAATCCTATACTGAGTCCGGTCTATCTAGTTCAAATTTTCGCATTCGATCTTTTCTGTCAATTTTAATATCATGTTTCCACTTACGCCAAGCGGTAATTTCCCTTATGTTTGTAACGAAAATTTGTTGCGAATTTCGTGGAATTCACCGCAAGCTACATGTCTAGCCATCTAATCCTTTTTCTTGATCAACATCCTAACAACAATAGGCGAAGAATGCAAGTCACGAAACTCCTCATGTAAAGAGTGGGAGGTTTACATTAAAACGAGACATAGTAATATACTGAGTCGCTGAAGTCTAATTTGCATTTCTTTTTAATTCGCTTAGTGGGGGGTGGAGTCCAACTGGGTCCACACGGCACGGCGGCCTCTGATTGGCCTATTGTAGCCTGCCCCGGGTGATTATGATGATGGAGAATTTGGTGGAATGAAGATTGGCAAGGGAAACCGAAGTACTCGGAGAAAACCCGCCCCAGCGCCACTTTGTCCACCACAAATCCCACTTGACCAGACCCGGGATCGAATCTCGACCGCCGCGGTGGGAAGCCAGCGACTAACCGCTTGAGCTATGGCGCGACCAATTTACATTTTATAAGGTCCATTTCAATGTCATACATCCATGCCTCACAAATGCAGTTTTTCCACAAGGGTCTAAAACAACAACAACAACAACAACAACAACAACAACAACAACAACAACAACAACAGCAGCAGCAGCAGCAACATCCTGAATGAAGTTATCATTTCCATCTTCTGTGCTTAAAAATCATCACGGGCATCGAAAAATCTCGCTTGTGCACAGCGTTCTTAAATCCACGTCACAATCATACCATCAACAGTACACGTTCTTGGCACCCTGTCATTGCCTCTTATGTTTCCCGCATGTCTTTTCCGACAAGGGTTTCTGGCCTCAAATTTATGTTCTTTTTTCATGCATGTTAAGTATCTTGTCCATCTCATCTCTCCTGGTCAATTGACCTTAAATGTACTAGGCGAAAGGCTGAGATTATATAGCCGCTAGTTAGCTACCTCCAAGTAAAGAGAGAATGACTCAAGAACTCTCATTTTAAAATTTAGAATAAATATTTTTTCACTAATATATTTTATCTTGGTACGAAAATAAATTAGGACAGAAAGTAACATACTGATATGTTGGGTTTTTGGACTTTATCCATCGTCCTGGTTTTTAATATAACAAATAAAAACACGACGTTTCGGAAAATGGATCTGTTTCCGTCCTCAGGTGAAGGAAAACACCTATTCAGTTGGGTCCCTTAGAAAGAGCTAGCCTCAATCACTGGACAAACCGATGTCACAAAACATGAAGATTATAAAAACCTGAGACCAGGCTAAGTCCATGAGAGCTAATAAGAAAAATATTCATAACAAATTGTAGCAAGCACTTACAAGCGTGGAACCAGGATAGATAGCTCTTATTAGCTCTCATGGACTTAGCCTGGTCTCAGGTTTTTATAATCTTCATGTTTTGTGACATCGGTTTGTCCAGTGATTGAGGCTAGCTCTTTCTAAGGGACCCAACTGAATAGGTGTTTTCCTTCACCTGAGGACGGAAACAGATCCAGTGTGTTTTTATTTGTTATCTTAAAAACCAGGACGATGGATAAAGTCCAAAAACCCAACATATCAGTGTGTTATACACCATCGTCAGAATCCTATAGTAACTACTTAGAAAATAACATGTTAATTGCAATATTGGAACGGAAGTTGAAACGCAATTTAGCGAGACTCGGGATGCGGAGACAAACAGAGTGCAGAGGGAAAGCTACAAGAGATGTGCTACTACTTCATCAGTGCTGAAACGCTAGATTTGAGAACTTATTTAACACTCAAGAAACAGTTGAATTATCATTAAGATATTTCAAAATATAATTAAATTGAGAGGACAGTTATAACAGACTTTCCTGAGACAGTAAATATAGATTCAGGTAGAAACAACAGTAATGTTCTTAACAGGATGCGGTGGGAACGTGAAGTGTATCATACAGGTTTTGTTGTGGAGTCTACCTCATATTAGCCCGGGTCCTTCAGCGATGGTCACTCTCTGGTCAGTAATCACCTAACTGTCAGTATGATATTTAGCATATCGGGTGACAAAAAGAACGAATTTCTCCAAGAAAGAATTGTAAAAATGAACGGATATGGAATTATACGCTTTTCGTAGAGCAATCTGTGTACATAAAGAATGATACGTTACAAAGAAAAATACTTTCCAGGTTGAATTTAAAAAACGACATTTTATTTATAATTCAACCGCATATTTTTGATCTTAATCTGAGGTTAATAATATCCCCGCTTTCCTGTATTACAGCTTGAGCCCCCTTTTTGACTGGTGTGTGGCTGACCGTATGATATCTTGTGAAATGAGAGGCTGCCCATTTTCAATTCTTTGTTGCCTTTATTCTGCGGACTGAGAGCCTGTAATGATTCTTTTCGGTTTTTTACACTAGTTGTTTGTGTCATTTCCAAAAATATAATTATCGACTCAAATCTGTAGAATTCTGTGGCAATTCTGTGGTTCGAACCATTCCAACTCCAGCGTGAACAGACACTTTGAAAAAACGGGTAGGCGTAATATGGTTACAAAAATATCTGTTTAACATTCGGATTGTAAAGCATTTATCTCTGCAATGAATCAAGTGGATAAATACTGCGGGGTATTCTACACAGTTCCACGAACTTCATTGAAATTGAAACTGAATATTTATCTCTGCAATGAATCAAGTGGATAAATACTGCGGGGTATTCTACACAGTTCCACGAACTTCATTGAAATTGAAACTGAATATTTATCTCTGCAATGAATCAAGTGGATAAATACTGCGGGGTATTCTACACAGTTCCACGAACTTCATTGAAATTGAAACTGAATATTTATCTCTGTAATGAATCAAGTGGATAAATACTGCGGGGTATTCTACACAGTTCCACGAACTTCATTGAAATTGAAACTGAATATTTATCTCTGTAATGAATCAAGTGGATAAATACTGCGGGGTATTCTACACAGTTCCACGAACTTCATTGAAATTGAAACTGAATATTTATCTCTGCAATGAATCACGTGGATAAATACTGCGGGGTATTCTACACAGTTCCACGAACTTCATTGAAATTGAAACTGAATATTTATCTCTGCAATGAATCACGTGGATAAATACTGCGGGGTATTCTACACAGTTCCACGAACTTCATTGAAATTGAAACTGAATATTTATCTCTGCAATGAATCACGTGGATAAATACTGCGGGGTATTCTACACAGTTCCACGAACTTCATTGAAATTGAAACTGAATATTTATCTCTGCAATGAATCACGTGGATAAATACTGCGGGGTATTCTACACAGTTCCACGAACTTCATTGAAATTGAAACTGAATATTTATCTCTGCAATGAATCACGTGGATAAATACTGCCGGTGTATTCTACACAGCTCCATGAGCTTCATTGAAATCTGTTTCTTTTTAAAAGCTATATTTCTTGCGCAATTCTGTATATGATTTCAATGGGCGGGAGACAGTGAAAATACTCTATAAACAACGTAACCAATCACTTACCGATATTCACTGTCTTCTGTTCTCTTTCACTTGGCCAGGTCTAACAAAATCTCTTGCTGGCTCGCAAATAACAAGCCTGTTACATGATGCAATCCTTCAGTGACTATGCAGCCTCATGCTAGACCTACCATTATGCCCTTCTATATACTTATATTCAAGGTCGCCACAGTAACAGCCTTCATAAAATAGTATTCGGTGGCACTGGAGCGACCCGAATATTCTGCCATGCTGTTGAGTGAGGGGAAGTCCCCATACCGCCCATCTGATTGCCTAATCAGTTGTCAGAATTCCTGTGACGTCCGTCACACCAATGCCCCCTTCTCCTACCACAACTCAGTCGTCAAGAGCGTCAAGAGACTCTTCATGGGCCGCGCGGCAGTACAGGCGAATTAACAGACCTGCACCGGCAGGCAAGCACGGCAGTACATTTTACAAATGTTTTCTTCATTTTTTTCATAAATTAAAATTAATTTCTGGTAATCTTTTGTTCTTATAGTGACCATCATTAAACTAAACACATTAGGCAATAATATAAATAACACAGTTTAAAGGATTACGACATCAAAGATTTTTTTTTCGCTGTCTAAAAAATGTCGTGTTATTATGATGAAGTCCTGAGAAAGTCGATGATTCTAACTGGAGAGGGAGAGAAAATGTAGGGTTGCGCCGTCCTCGAATGTGATGTAACATTCCCACACAACTACACTGCCTATTTGCAAATGTAAACACGTGACGACTATCTTTAGGTATTGATGCTCTTCTGTAGGTATTGCACGTGTCAGTCAAGTGACTAGATGAACGGGATTCGATAACCAGTATGAGTAATATCTGCCTCTTCGATGCAAAGTCCAGATAGGGCCTGGCACCCACCCAATTCCTGTCCATTGGGTTCTGAAGGCAGCTTCCTCGAAGGTTATTTGAAGGTTCTAAAACATATCTGTGCAATGCTATTTTTGTCACATTTAGAAGCATTTTCTTAATAAGCGACCACGCACGTAGTTGAGTTTCCTCTGTATCTGATGTTATATTTTACCGTGATATATTTTCAAACATATTTTAATGGTCATTTTCTAAAATACCGTTTTAAAGTGACCATGAAGTTATAATTATTAAATGTGTTTAATAAGAAACTTTCTGTAAAAAGGGACAATAGTCGTATTAAGGTACATTTTTCTAATCAACTGTGAACTCTGAAGTTTTGAAATTTGGTACACAAGTTTTTATTGGGTTTCTGCATCTATTGACCTTTTCTCGTGGTTATATAATTGGAAGGAGGTTTTCATAATGTTTCTTCTAAATATAAAAGTTTTCAACATTTCGACAGAAAAATATTTAGTGCCGACAAGATTTCATATGTCAGACGTGTAAAGGCAAGTCAGTATCATCACAAATAACAACAATAAGAGGGCTATTCGGAAAGTAAATAAGGGAATAAGTTTTTATATGCCCCTGTTAAAGTGGTCTACAGCCTGTTTGCTCAGTCATGTTTTGATACCTTTCATCAACTCATTATTGTTGAAGCGCTGTGATCGCAACCAGTTCCTCAGGTAAGTAAACAGGTAGTCTCTCGGAGCTAGATCAGGACTGTAGGGAAGATAGTCAAACAATTCCCAGTTGAAATGCTCCGGCAATGCTCGAGCGCGAGCAGCTATATGCGGACGCGCATTGTCATGGAGGAGTACTACACCGGTTGTCACAATTCAAAGCCTTTTCTTCTGAATGACCATACGTATTTGTTTTAGTGCTTCACAATACAAAACCTGGCTAAGCTCACAGACGGTACACTTATTTGACATAGGCATACAAAAACTTATTCACCGACACAACTGACTCAATTTCGGTGGCGACTACGTACGATTTTTTTGTGTATAATAATTTCTTTTCTCACTGCTTCTTTTGTCAACAGCTCACCGGAGGTTACTTTCCGAATATCCCTTGCAAATTTAATGCATTTATAATGTATAGTTTCCGAGAAAAAGACACATATCTATAAAACCATTTGCGGGAAGTGGTCGAGAAGCTAAAACGCTACCTTAATTCAAAGAAAAACAAATGAAGGCAAAATCACGCCAATTAACAGTGCTAACATTATGGAAATTTCTCTAACCAATGCAGAAATTCCTTTGGGGCCCTAGAATATATATAATATCCAATTTTCGTGACCACAAAATGTAACTGAAATGGGGGCGTGCCGCCAGCTGTCATTTTGAATTTAATTAAATCGGCTTTCAATGCCGTTGTGTGAGGTTTTAGTAGAAATTACCGTATTTACGCATGTATAGGCCGCGTGCGTGTATAGGCCGCAGCACAATTTTCAGACAGAAATTATAGAAAAAATAATTTTCTTGGAATATTATTTCAGGAGTAGAACACCCTGTATTACTAATTATGAATATAATTTTTTTTTAATGAAGTGTGATTTCGAATATAAGCCGCGCCCCAGTTTTCCTCTTGAATTTTTTGGCAAAAAATGTGCGGCCTGTACATGCGTAAATACGGTAATATTTTCACATGTTTATGGCTCCGAGACTAAAACTGACGCGTTTTGGACTGGATGATTGGATTTAACACCTTCTTTACAACCTCTTTTAATCAGTCAGTTACAAAGACTGACAATAAATGACTTCCCAGGACTCGCTCCATTCTGACTGGACTATGTCCTATACTACGACTGACTCGGTTCTGATTTACGAATGCCTTCGTGCTTATCTGAACGGCCGCTTATATAGCATAGCGGTATCCTAAGAACTTTTGTTGCTTGCTCGTATCCATGAACACGCATGTTGATTGCACAGCAACGAGCTGGTTTCCAAGAGATTATATATCACAATATTATATTATCATAAATAAAGACTGTTGACTACCAAAATTAACAAAAATAAAACAACACAAACGTGATATTTTTTTTTTTTTTACTCAAACCATTTTACCACCTCCCTTTAAGGATGCTTGGAGTTTTACTTCCAATTTAAGGCCCTGCTGGCAAGAAACTTAGACGCAAGAAATTTATTTTTACCAAATGAATTAACACTAGACAAGGGAAATGTTATGTTCGTAAATATTAAATGTCCATTCTAGTGTGTGTAACATGCTGTACTTCCGTTCCTCCATTGAATTTACTTTTCTGCGTTACATGTATGTTTGCTCTCTATGACTAACAAAATACTACTATACAAAGCTATATTGAAACCTATTTGGTCCTATGGTCTTGAACTTTGGGGATGGGCAAAGCCGTCGACAATCAATCTTTTCCAGAGATTCCAATTAAAAACACTAAGGGCAATTGCAGACGCGCCATTGTATGTGAGCAACCTTACACTCCATAACGACCTAAAGATACCCTTCGTCAGAAATGAAATACTAAGAATGGGTGAAAGGTACAAAAACCATGACAACGGTTCAGTGAGGAGAAGACTGAACAGAACATGCCCCCAAGATATCATCAATCAATGAAATAGACTACATGTATAATAATAATAATGAAATAATAAATAATAATAATCTTTACAGTTCCAAACTCAGCACACTAAGAAACGACTTTGTTTGCAGGTGTGGTGCCAGTGGACCGCCAGACAGAGCGACGTACCCTCTCGTGCCAAACAGGGTTAGAGCTGCTTCACTATTTTCTGCAGACTTACATGAGGAATATGCAAGCGTCACAGCAGACACAGGATTATAAAAAGAATGAAGCTGAAATCCTAGTACCTCCATGGGCAGAATTAAGTCCTCGGGCACTGCTGGACAGCATGAACACGACGCGGTTACGACGCACTGTTATTTCCACGGCGCACATCTTGGAAGAGAGCGCTAGTGAACAAAGTGGTGACGAGGACAGTGGTCAGGTGAAACACATCACCATCAGCCTAGGCGACTGTGAGTGTCGGTCTGACAGTTCTTCGCATTCTCCCGTATCGTGGTCTCATAATTCCGATAGCGCCGTGTGATTCGGCAAAATAACGCTCATCGCACACGAAATTATGATAAATTTAGGTACAAAATGGCATATTTCTGTAGTCATGACTCCCACCTCGCATTTGGAAGGATCAGCAACCTGGCCCTAAATTGGCTGAGGTGTTTATGATTTTCCTCGGACAATCGCAATAAAATAGGCTTAAATAGGCCCAACAGCTTCATTGCACGTCCTTCTAAACTGAAAATACATTATCATCCTCTCGTATCTCTTTTCATTATTGTATCAGGTGGCGGGAAAAATGCGGTGTTTCTTAATTGCAAAAATTAACGGTTTCACGGGTCTTAACGAAAGCATGTAAGTTGTGTAGATAATTGTTTCTCGACCGATGGGAATTGAAGGACAGCCGGGTTGATTCCGAGGTCTGAAATATAAGAACTTGTATTAATGTTTAAAAGAATACTAAAATTTACATGATTGTAAAATTACACTTATTGGAAAAAAAGGAACATTATTTTTGCTACAGAGGGACTGCAGTTCAACAACAAAATTGCTGGTGGGATGCAAGACACAGAAGGTTGAGAACCAGTGAACAGAACATGAAGTACGTTTACAAGAAATTTATTCAGTTCGGTTATTTCCTTATGCAAATAAAAGATAATCATTTCAATATTAAGTGTAAAAATAGATTTTATTTACGACTAAATTATTTTCTCACTAAAATTGATATTGAATAGTGTCCTCGCTTTCTTCTGCTAGGTCTTGCGTTAGGCGATGGCTGATCAAATGTTATTTTGAGATCATATATTTTCAATTTTCACTGCTGTAATTCTAGGGACTAATATGATACTCTCTGGTTTCTGTCCACTATCCGTTCAATTTCATTCTGTCAGGGTAATTTGACGTAATTAAATCTGGAAAACTTGGTAAGAATTTTGTGAATCTGGCAAATTAAAATGCAGTATTATTTGACACTTCCCAAAGAGGGGTAATGTGAATGTAAAAACGCACACTTTTAACATTCGAAATGGAAAATAGTTTTAGGCATAACAAAATAAATCTAATTGAATAGATTTGATCGTAGTTGCACATAACCGCAGTACTGTAATCACTCCGTTCCCGGGCAGGCAGGTATGTCAATTCGGCCTCAATTGCATTCGCTGATTCTTTTTGAACGCCCAGTGAACAGCAGCCAGCCAAATTAGAAGCTGCAAGTGTTTACATTGCCTCTTGTCCATTCGACTCTGTTCTGCAGAAACTGCTAAGTGGATACCCACGTGACAATATCTGAAAGAGCTAAGTATCCGGATGTTTACACAGGCGATTTAGTTGTGTGGTAATGATCGAATTGGGCGCAAGGGCCTTTCTACTGCAGTAGAATCGAAACGCTCGCAGATTAATCACGTCGAAATACGGTTTCACTTTTCAGATGTGTCATGCGATCAACCAATGTAAACGTGCCCAAGTGACAATGAGTGCGTTGCTTGGCTGGAGCTTTTCGGTTGTGGTCGAGACAGGGGCCGAATTATTTTAGAGTTTTATTCTTGTCATGAAACACCATGGTGGGCACCATTGTATGCATTCTTTCAGTTCTCCATAATGAGCATACCTCGGGTCTATGTAATTCGTCTCTCTCACCCCAGGTGCGAGGAACATGCTGCCCCGGATTTCGTAAAGTGGGTGTCATATTCTTTAACGATATTGTTTTTACAAATGTCGTTATATTGACTATTTTTTATTTCGTAGCCTCCTCGACTTGTACTGCGTTAAATCACATTTTCATCATAACGACATTCGTTAAAGTGGAATATTTTTATGAGATAGCAGTAAATTAGTAGGGTCCAAAACAAGTCGTTTTACTGACTCTTTCCTTAAAAAGATATTTTACTGTACCAATCACGCTCACCCCCACTTGTTCTTCCAATTCTGAACAAAAATAATATCCATTCTATGCAAATATTATCACTCTATCACTTTTTTTGGCCTCTTTTTCAGTATACTGCAGAATTCCACTGTTACTCCTCATGGTACCACAAACTCTTGTTCTTCTGTCAAAGAAACTTTCATAAAATTTTACATTGCTGTAAAATTTGCTCAGTTGGTATAATGTCGGGCTAGATGGCCAATGAATTGGGGTTCACTTCTCAGCAGGTAAAAAAATATAGGTAGAGTTATTCCTGTAACATGCCATGGAGGACCAACGGGTTGTGAGACATTGAGGCTCCCACATTTTCTAGACAATCGGTTTACATATGGCCGTTAAATTTGTAACAAAGTTTTAAATGCCAGTACAAAGGTCAGACCACAGTAATAAACACTTACACAGAGTGGGAATGATCTTTCAGCAATTGCACTGGTAAGCTTTTCAGGTAAACATACTTACATTGGCATTTTATGAATATGAAATTTTTAGGTACACTGTATCAACTAAGAACATAATTAAGTATCAAATGATATGTAATATTATCATGGTGGTCTGGGGGGGGCATGTGGAGCAAATCAATATGAGGTGTTTCACAGTAGCATCTTGACACTCTCCTAGATCGGCTGGGATAAACAAATGAATCTCATGCTATCCTCTCATTTGGTTATGACATTTTAGTGAATGCACACATTGAGACTCAGAAAATCTCATCTGTGACAACTACTACGTTACTTCAGAGTTTTCTAAGGTTTCCATTTGGTGTGAGTGCATACAAGCACACAGACATATAGAAATTGGGTATTATACATATAGGGTTTTCCTAAAAGAATGGTGGGATTTCATTGCCGTATATCTCCGTCAGTTTTTGCTGATGAAAAGCAAAACGTATATGGATTCATAACATGGCTCTCAAATTTTCATTTTGTATATCACACTCTTTCCTAGTTCCATTTCCAACAGTTAGGCAAACAATGGACTGGACGTGCTGCAGGTGAAGATGCCCCTTTTCTCCAGTGGCCACCCCGGTCCCCAGGCATAACTCCATGTGATTTCTTCTTGGGGGGTACGTGAAGGACGTGGTTTATGTACCCCCATTGCCCCAATCACTCCAGGATCTCCGAAACAATCAATCATGCTGTGGAGACAATCACACCTGAAATGCTGCAGCGGGTGTGGCAGGAATTCGACTATCGCATTGATGGGTGCTGGGTAACGAAAGGTGCACACATAGAGGCACTTTGATGGATGCACATAAAATTTGGACAGTTAAGCTTCCGATTGACGCATGTTATGATTGTACACTGTAAGAAATACGAAATATATACGTATCTGAAACCCCACCATTCTTTTAGGAACAGCCAGTATAAATTGTTGAGAAACAGATTTCAAGTAAGTCTAAGAGTCTTTAAGGTTTTTTATTGATTTCTTGGCTTAACTTCAAGCTGACAGGCTAATAATTATAGAGGTACTGTAAATCTTCACTCAAATACCTCGACCAGAAAGTAGCATATGGTTATTAGCAGAGAATCTGCAGGTGCTCATAATCAAGATATTAGTTAACTGTTCATCTGCTGATTTTGATGGTCCCAGTGTCGGATATGACACTTAAAATTGAAGTTGTCTCTGTGTTTAAATATCACACCATGGACACACGGGGAGAATGAAGTAAAACTCCATGTATTCTTAACCATGGCACTAGATGGACCTGAACAGAACCTGGTACCTACAGAGCTGCAGGTTGGTTGGACCCCAGAGCCAGAACAGACATAGTAGCAAAGATAAAAGTCCCTGGATCTGCCATGAATTTAAGTCTGGTTGTTGAGCCTACAGCCAGTCACTTTACTGAGCTGCCAACTCTTTAAACCAGTACATTTTAATTCTGTTCTCATTAGAATAAATTTTCTATTTATATTAATAAACATTATGAAATTAAAATATATAATAATAAACTAAATATCTGATTAAGCAATAGGGCTTAAACAGTAGTTGGACTCAGCTGTAGCATCAACACTACATACACGCTACAATTTGAAGTTATGGTACTGTAGCGAAGTAGAACCAAAGAACTAAGTATGGCTATTTATTTTTAAGCTAATTAAACAGCCATTATGATCAATAGAGGACATATGTATCACTGCAATTTAGTAAGTGATCAATGTAAAAATAAAAACAGAATATCAATTCATTTTATTAGTTTTAGTCACAAAGAAACATTACCAAAGAACACACACTGTACCCTTTTCCCAAGTATTGCTCAGTATTCTATGAGTGTATATATAAGTTAATGCATCTTGTCAATGTCCTTTTGTATTACATTTATATAAAACTACTTCATGAATTCTATCAATAACAGATATGAATTTATAAAGCTGTGTAGCTATAAAAGACTTTACATGAGTGTAACTGGCATGAATAAATGATTTGATCGATGAGGACAATATTAATTACTTAGCTGTAACATAAGCCAGTACTGGTTCACCCCTGGAATACCAAGACTCCTTTCTTTCTTCCATTTTATATTTTGGTGTGTTATTTTACATCAGTGTCAGCAGCTAGACTACATTCTGCCGAACAGTAGGATGACGGGTGAATAATGAATTGGAAGGAAGAAGGAGATCAGGGCCTAATTAAGGTACTACCCCAGCATTTGCATGGATGGGCTGAGGAACACCACAGCGAACAGTCACCATAGTCTGAGTATCAGGCCCTCCTGAATACAAGTCTAGAGCATTACAATATCCACAAGGTATTAGCATATATTACGGAATTTCTGTTTATTGCAAAATATTATGCATCCTAGAATAGTGATACCATTTGTAACACACACATGTCAAACCACAAGGTTCCATTTATTCATGGCAATAAGAATGTAGGTTGCTAAGGCTGTTATGTCAGATTATCATTATCATTCCTGCCAGATGTGTAAAAATGGTATTATTTATGCATCTTCCTTTGCACTGCACTTTAAACCCTTAATTTTAGCCTTTTAATTTTAGAAAAGAAAAACTGCTCCTACCTAACTAAATAAATTCCTCTCAACACCCACAAATTAAACTGCACAGTTAAAAAAAAACACACACACACACACTGAAGTGTCACAGGCTTTCCACACAAACAGAAACTTCAGTCCTTATTAAACAAAGACCAGAGTTTTTAGTATCATCTTATGACTGTGTTGTTTACTAAGTATGACTCAAAACTTTGAAAATATCCACTTAGATAGAATTGACATATTCGCTGTCAATGTCATTGATTCCTTCTTCTGTGAATTATCCAATGAATCATTGATCAAGGCAAGCAGGCAGGCAGGCAGGCAGGCAGGCAGGCAGGCAGGCAGGCCTCTCCAAGGCAATACTGAATTTTGTGAGCAGCATCAGCTGTGACACTCTGTAGCAAAAATATCCATTGAGCTATATCACAAGACTGCCAAAGGGATGGGGCAGATATGAATAGCACAATTAGATCTCACAGATTAGCTGAAACTGAAGATTCAGATCTACTCACTGGTGGAACCTGGCTAGCCTTCATCACATTCTGCTGTGAAGGTGCTTGTATGCTCCCCTGCCTTCTCTGAACTTGTGGATGCTAAACAGTTTTACCACCGATCCCAGCACTATGTACTTTACAGATTCTACAAGCACAAATTTCTCTAACTCTTGCACCATACCATACCTCAACTGATCAGAAGCATTCTCTTCATTGGTGTCACATTCTGTAATGCTACATAACCTTCAACAGGGGTGCTTGCTTCACTGAGACCTCAGCTGTCACATGTGCAAAATATCTAAGCGCCAACAAGACTTATACTGTACATCCCAACCTTCTTGGGATGAGGTGCAGGAACCCCCACAACATGGAAAAGGCAGGACCAACACACACAATCTTCTCCTGCACTGGATTATGGTTTTTATGGCAGATTACTACTTCCTCCAGCATTTCTTTGCTGCACAGCTAAAGCCATAACAAACATAACACATATACCACAACTTTGTGCTTCACTTAATAAAAATATATATTGTATAATCTTAAAACTACTTACATATCATTTTAAAGTACATGTAACCAACCTCCTTTTATGACACTAACCTCTGAAGATGGTCCTATGGTACTGAAACATGTAAGGCAATTACATTAACTCGGGTTTTTAGTAAAGCTTGTTACACTTGATGGTTGTATTATTCCTTAACAATTAATACACAGCATAACAATCAACATGTCTCATTTTAAAATGACCTCATTACATCACTTATATTGGATGTGAAGAGCTTGATTGTGTCTTGGCTAGGTGCCTGTGTTGCGAGCAGTGTCACAAGGCTCCAAGTTGTACAGAGTTCTTCCAAATTCAGAGGAGTAAGCCCAACCTCAGACTTCAGCATTTCAACATCACTTGAGCTTAGGCTTATTATGTCACTCTACTCGTGCACTCAAGCTGCTTGAGCACGTGTCACATTCCTACTAAATGAAGCCTCATTCCACTCACTCTGACCCTGAAGAAGGAGGAAGCATGTTCCTTCCAAAACACAGTGTCACAGCTGTCAAATTGTCTCTCTCTTCTTTAAAAGGACAAGAAAATTACTTCCTCCTGAGAAGAGAACTCTTCCGCCTGGCCCTTAAAAGGGCTGTTTTCTCAGTTCCTGTCCAGAGTGGCCCTTAAAAAGGTTCTTTCCCATAATTAACCACTCATTTTCACCTGGACAAGACCCTATCTCTCCTCCCCTTCTCATGCTTCTGAGTGACTGCAATCCATGGCACCTTGTCTCTATAACTAATCACATCCTTAATCTACTCATTTTAACCTTACATGTTGAACCAACATGTCGTTCTGAAACTTTGGCATATACCTTCAAGATTACAAGTTTTCATAAACCAGAAGACCACAATCTGAATATTCACCAGTGTGAAAACCTCAAACCTCACATGGGTTAGTTCTGTCTGTGTTCTTTTAATCATCTTTTCATGCTGTAGACTGAAATAGTTTTGCTAAAGATACATTTTGTGTTACAGTATATCAGCATTACAATACTTTTTTTCAGCTGTCAGTCCCATGAGAACAATTTTAGACAACCCACACAGAAGTGGAATCAGTGAATGAAGATGATGATGATGATGATGATAACTATGGTGCAGTTACTCTTTTACTGAGGAACGTATGTGTTTTGATCATATTTTCAGAATCACCCCTACACTTTTTAAACTATGACATGAATACTGTAGCATTTGTCTTGTAGCAATTGCTTAGATGTAATCACGAGGGGTATAGTATTATACAATAAATTAGAGTATATGAAGGGTATTAATTTCAACATGCTAGAGCAGGAACCTCATACAAAGGCAGATAAGGGAGATATGCCATTGCAAAGAATTCTGTCACATGTTCTGAAACCTTGTTTTGTGGAGGACGGGTAAGGGGGTGGCGGACTGAAAATGTAAGAAGTAAGTAAAAGCAAGTTCTCCAGAAACAAGTGAGGGAAATCATGTGCAATGTTTACCATGATGTAATGTCTGAGGGAAAGAAATGAGATGATGGGACTTGTATGGTAGTTAACAATGTTGCCAAGGGTTAAGAGCAGACAGCGTAGGCTTGTGGTAGTTAACAATGTTGCCAAGGGTTAAGAGCAGACAGCGTAGGCTTGTGGTAGTTAACAATGTTGCCAAGGGTTAAGAGCAGACAGCGTAGGCTTGTGGTAGTTAACAATGTTGCCAAGGGTTAAGAGCAGACAGCGTAGGCTTGTGGTATTGAAATTCAGGGTTTCAAACGAATAATGAGCAACGCAAATTTTTTAATCAGTAAGTTTGGGAGTCACCTTTCATTCACCATGCAAGCATTGCCAACACAAAATACTGACTAAATTAAATGATTCTGATAAAAATGTGCTGTAGCACATAATTTTCTGTATGTATGGAAAGGGAGAATTTCTCACAGGAAAAAGACTGAATATAGAAATAAAAGAAATTGCAGAATCTGATGGTAGCAAACAATCAATACTAAGACTTTTGAAGAAACTGGACTTCAGACATAAGAGGCAGAATGATGGAAGGAAATTTCTAATAGTACAGAGTTATAACTGTAGTTGCAGTATCAGTGTTTCTTCATAAAATGCAGAAAGCCAAACAAAGTTGCAGAGCTTGCATTTATTACTTGGATGAAACATGGGTCAACCAGAACCATACCAGAGAGAGGAGCTGGAAGATGAGTGATAGTTCAGTTGGCCTAAGCGTTCCTGTCAGTAAAGGTGGTCGACTTCCTGTATTCAGCTGGTTCAGCTGCCACAGGATTCATTCCAGAGAGAAATCTTTTGCTCTAATTCAAAGGGCGTGACATATTACCATAATGAAATGACTTATGTGACGTTTAAAGGGTCGTTTGAAGAACACTTTCTCCTGAGTATTTTATCATGATGCATAAAGTCAGTATCTGCTCAGTTATGATGGAAAAGTCTCCAGGCAAAGATATGAAGAAAGCTGGCATAATTTCACAGTTATTCAACAGAAACATACCACACACAGCTTCATAAATAAATGCAGAGTTACTATAGTGCGTTAAAGTGTACAAGCCACAGCATCCCTGTCCAACGCGGCGCCCGTGGTATATTTTTCTGGCACCCTCCGTAACCACATATAATTGAGCCGATTTTTAATATTAATTCAAATTGTAAGACAAGAGACATTTTTGAACGTCTGAGTACTGTTAAATATTTTCGAAAAATTTTATTATTATTATTATTATTATTGTTGTTGTTGTTATTATTATTATTATTATTATTATTAGTAGTAGTAGTAGTAGTAGTAGTAGTAATAGCAGTAGTAGCAGTAGTAGTAGAAGTTCTAGTAGTAGTAGTGTGTGGTGGTGCCCGCACCTCCATAGGCATCAGTGAATTGTGCCCGAGTACATAAGAACGTTGGACAGCACTGAGCCACAATACAAAAATTATTAATTACATTCTATTGCCCAGCAACACTGACACAAAATAGTGTGACTACCACCATGCTACTGTCATTATAATCCAACAGAAATGACACTGGCACGAGTAAAGCCACATGTGATGCAGAAGAACATATTCAGATGTTGACTCATTAGGCAGCAGACAATACACATGCTTCAGCTTGGATGGGCTGTCTACAACAAGCAGAAAAGCTGGATGAAAATGACTTCAGGAGAGAGAACGCCAGAGAAGACACGCTAGAATGGTCACTGTGAACCTTGGGGAATCGAGTTCAGAAGAATCCGAATCCAGCAGTGAAGATGTTTGTGGTATTTATAGTGTCTTCACAATGTGAAATTAATTAACAGTCAACAATTTTAAGCAAACATGCAAATATTTTTCAAATGCAAGGAATCTTGCAAAGCTACAACTCGTAGCTGTGCCTCTGCGTCCCCAGCAGCTTTAGTCAAACACCATCATACAGGGGTCTCTAATATAGTAAGACGGACCATAGCTTCATTAGTAAGGGATGTGATGATGTGTCACCACCAACCAAAGGTTTATTATGAATGTGTGAAGTCCAGCTACTGTTGATTTAGGTTAAGGCATATGAGGATTATTATGAAGGTACAAAGTTCAGTTCCTGTGAACTTTAGCCAAGGTCATGGTGCATGAGCCTTTCCCTTTAACTGTGAAAGATGCTGGAAAAAGTATGGCAAGAAGGGGGAGGAGCTTGTTCTTTTTCAAGCATTTACAAGCCAAACTTATTTTAAATTTGTCAGATTCCATTTCATAATTTTGTTAGACTACATCTGTGCTTCACTTTCAAGGATTTGTTTGGGCTGCCTCTAGCATCTGTGATGAGTACTGTATCAGCAATACTTCAACAAACTCAAGAGCAATCTGCAGTCTGCTGTTTTAATCAACCCTCCTACACACTAGCAGACTCAACTCCACAGCAGCCAACATAAAGGCACTATTGCTTGGCCATTAGCATCCTACTTCCCTCAAACAAACCAGGGGTTCTGACTTTGATGATTTGGAATTCAACAACACCGTGAAGTTCCCATTGTCTCTTCATACCAAAATCAGTAACATGGGTCAGTTGATTTGAGCTGCATATAATGTAGAAGTTATACTGGACAGACACTAATAACACTAAATTCACCTGACATCTTTTAGTGTAGATTCCCAGTGTCAAATTATATCAATCAGTTGAGTAGTTTTTGAGATAAAATCCTACAGATGAAGTCTGAACCCCCCCATTATCTTCTGTATTTTCTGCAAATACATATAAGTGGAAGGATATAATCATGTCACACTCTGCAACCTCTTAAAAATCAATTCAGCAAGATTTATGCTCTGGGGAGGATGGTGATGGAATGGAAAGGCGCAATACATATGTCAGCATTTCAAATGATTCATGGTTCCCTTTGCTGAGAATATCTTGAGTTAGGAGAAGAAGCCTGTTATTTTTACAGCCTATGAGTATGTTGTTTGTATCTCGCGCTATAATTTCAACTTTTCCACTCCATGCAAGACTGTACTTCTTGTTGATATGAGGAACAAACTAAAAATGAATACATTTTGGTTTGTGTTACACATATTGCCTAGCCAGCAAGTACACTCATGACTGATGGCAAATAATGTTTCATGATATTTTTCATTCTCCATGTACCCTCAGTAATTTGTAAGATTTTAGATTTTCACAGCAGTGTCTATGAAGAGTTCTATCTCCTGGGTTGTTATGCTATGTAGTGTGATAGAAGTTTACTGACATAGTGGACTAACATCAGTAAACTGCTAACAGACTATATGGTGTAATATCCCAGAAAACTGTACTCTTCCTCAATGATTTAATGATCTATCCATGGAGTTCTTACATAACTGGTATCAAACACTTAAGCTTTTATTCCTTTTCTTGTCACATTTTGGAAGTGATTGTCTCTTTCAAGTCTCTTGCTTCAGTAGCCAGTTGGCGTACTGCATCAGATGCTGCTACGTGCTGTTTCTCTATGTATGCTCGACTGTTAGTCTCTGTGTCTTCCAGGAAATACCTAAAAGAGACACAGAATAAAAAATAATAACTTATCTGATTCTAGTCAAATTAAAAATGGTTCACCGTACACAAATGAAATGTGTAGGTACATTTTGATTAGGGCAGTATTCTAAATGTGGGAAGAAAGAAGAGCCTGGATCTGTTTCATCCAGTGAAATGATGCAAAATTATGATGATGATGATGATGATGATGAGGTGGAGGTGGAAAGTGTGTGTGTGTGTGTGACAGAGACAGGCAAAGAAAGCAATATGAAGCACAAGTTGTCAGGAAAAAATTTTCCATGCCAGAATACAGTTTTAAATACCATTTCAAAGCCCAAGACCTTTCATGACTCTTCATAAGATGTGACTACATGGGATTTTTAGCTCCATGCCCAGGCTGTGTCATAGCTCCTGCGGTTAGTCGCTGGCTGCCCCCCGCGGTGGCCCAGGTTTTTAGCCTAGGTCAGGTAATGTGGGATGTGTGGTGGACAAAGTGGCACTGGGGCAGGTTTCCTCTGAGTACTTCAGCTTCCCCTGCCAATCCTTATTCCACCAACTGCTCCACATTCATCATCATCTATCATCCAGGGCTGGTACAATAGGCCAATTAGTGGCCAACATACCAAGTAGACTCAGCCTCACCCTATGACTCCATAATCATAAGAGAATGAAAATATTAAATTTGGTGAATGCCTACTACCATTCAAAAACTTCTATTTTCCTCCACTATCATAATCTCCTACGGTCTAGAAAACCGAGATTAACGGCCATGGGGATTCACTGTGCTGACCACGTGACACCCTCTATCCGCTAAAGTTGGCACTAACTTTGCTGACAAGCTGTGGTCACTCGGTCGGTATAGTTCGCTTGTGGGCTACAGGCCACGGAGTTTAGTTTTTATCATTATCTCCTCCTCCAAGTGTTTAACTTGTTAGCCCATTCTGTCTTTGAGCATTAGGAGTAATTTTTCTTTTTACTTGAGCAAGTTACCAGCCTGCTGCATGATCCTTATCTTGTAGGACCAGGGTTTTTATTACTTGAGCAAGTTACCAGCCTGCTGCAAAACCCCTATCTTGTAGGACCAGGGTTTATATTCAGGGTTTCCTTCCCTCAGACAGGCTACCTAACATTGTTAACAAGTCCTGTTTACCTGCCACATAATCCTGGTAAGGGGACCTTACCACGTGCTATGTACAGGGCCAATAGGAGCTGGAGCTCACATAAGGCAGGGTCGCCACTCCCTGAAGTTGGACCATCTCTTATGAGAGTTCCAACTCGCTACCTATTTTTCTGCACCATATTTAATAACCCAAACACAGAAGCACAGAAAACTGAGATTTTACCCATTGTTTTATGTGGATGTGAAACTTGGTCTCTTACCCTAGGACAGCACAGACAACATGGGTATGAGAATGAAGTAGCTTATTTTAGGCATCGCGAAAGTTGCACCCAGTAACTGTCCTTTGTCTTTTTGTTGCATATTAACCTCAAATATTCTGTATTTCCTACAGGCTTCAGTTATTGGTATAACTATAGTCTAATGGTTCTAAAATATGGAATAGAATAAACTGCATGTGAATGTGGTAATTGCTGTACTGGATATATTGTCATGTGTAGGGTGGTGTGCATGACTTACGGATGGATTTTGGATAGGATTTATCGCACTTATACACTCAACTCATAACTACAATTAATTATAGCACTATTACTATCTCCACACTTTACAGTTCATTGTTACACAGATTAGTGTCCTCAGTCTACACTAGTCATATCCTGGCAACGGATTCATAACAGTCTCACTGTAACTGCACAGCCCAATTCCTTCTTCCCATTTCTTCTCAATTATTCTGCCAACTGCAATCTTCCGAGAAACTCTCAATTATATCTTTCAACAGCCTGAGATCCTTGTTATGTAGCTTCAGGGTGGCTCCCACAGGAAACACCGCTTCCTCTACTGTTGCATGTTGATTCACTGCTACAGAGATGTGTTTACTGTACTGTTGTAGAGTAACACGTGCAGCGTGGGGCACAGAACACACCGCTCTTCTATTTTTGTGTGTTTGCTTCAATGGTAATGTGTCTACTGAGCTGTTGCCTAGCAATGAACTGTTCCATCTTTCAGGCATCATGTCACAATATAATAACTCCTGCTAATATATACATCCTATGCAGATACACAAGTTTTGTGGTATGGAACAGCAGTCAATGCCCATCTTCTCACAAATCACAGAAGTGCATTTTTTATTGTCCCTCATTGTTCTTCATTTAGAAATATGATGACTCATTTTATAATTAGGCAGATGTCATAATTGCAAAATCATTCAAAATGGTTAACTGTGGAAACTGTAGCTAGAGATGGAACTGTCAAATATTCCCATTGAATTTTCAATAGTATTTCACCAGTTTAGTACAAAAGAGGAAATTTCTCCATTCATGTAATATTAGTAGGAGAACAAGAAAAGATGATAACTAACATACAAAGATTACACTGGTAACGTGATTATTAAAAATCTAAAATGTTTTAACGAATGAACATCTTAAATGACACGAATTCCGTCCCAAGTGCAAACCATATATATTATATGTCTTTGATCTTGTTCTTTCTACACTACATGTTTCGGCCTCTATCGGCCATCATCAGGTGTATACTCTTAACGTTGCTGCCACACTGACCCCAGTCTAAAATTTAACATTTAAAAACACAATGTCATATTCTTCGTATTATCAACATCTACATCGTTGATATATGTCTGGTATGTAGATTATGTTGCACACGTCAAATTTGATATTCTTGTAGTAGCACTTTAAAAATCTTTAGTTATGTTGTTTTTCAAAACCTTTTAAAATTTTCTCTAAATTTTAAATTTAAAATTTAAAATTCTTAGGGTTACACGCCCTATGTCTAAGTCTATGTCTAACATCTCTCCATTTATCATTCATTGCAAAAGACAAAGTTTTAACATGTTCCATCTTGCTTGTACCTGTAGTTCACCATAATGCCACAAGAGTTTCCAAGACCTCGAGCACTTAAGTCAGCCTGCCAGTTTAGCCGCCACATCACTGCTCCATTTCGAAGGTGAAAATTAGCTAAAAGTATAACAAAAATATGTTAACAGTGAATACTTGTAATTGTTTTTTTTCTTAATAACTTATAGGAATGTCTATGATGTGTTAAAAGTGGTGAGACACAAACTAACTTCTATAAGTTAAAAAACAGACATAAAAGTTTAGTCCTATTATTTTATGGTGACCTGATGTCTGCATGACAGATCACATCAGAGTACTATGGGACAATACAACTATAGATCTTTTTAATTATAAGAAGTCAAATATTAAATATATGTTAAATATTAATCCACTGCCTTACAAAGACATCAAATCAGCAGCTGCACACAGGCATGTGAACTTTTGCTCCATACAAAGAAATGATAATGGCAAGATGGGATTTATTCTACAGAATAAAGGAACAGTGCATGTCCCTGTGTTAAGACTTTGACATTTTCTCAGGCCATATGTATTGGCACACTCACAGCAAGAAGTTGCTAAATGTTCCTCTTAGTTTCATCATGTCTGTCCGCACAAGTACTCACAACCTGCCAAATAGATTTTCATGAAATTTAATACTGAAGAGTTTCACTAAAATTTGGCAATGCATTCTAGTTTTTGTTAAAATTGGACAATAATGGACACTATGACAACCTACCTGCACTTCTGTGTTAACCTTACATGTAACTCACTATATATTTATAAGAGGTAGAAGTGTTCCGAACAAAAGTTCTAAAGAAAAACAAAACACACATTTTATACCTAATACACTTTATTTGAAACTGTATGTTAGCAAGATATTAAAAATGGGGGGGGGGAGCAATAGCACCCGAATCATTATGCTATGCATATCCCCCCCCCCATTCTTCTCATATGTGTAATATGTATGAGACAGTATTATGCTGGTGAAAAAAATAGATGTTGAAATGTTGACAGATTTACACATTTTCAGCATCCCTGAATATGAAAACGTATATATATATGAGAAACTACTGTGGTGGTGAAAATACTGATCAGAAGATCTCAACAGAACTGACTACAAGAAAGTGCTTTTGGAATGCCATCTGCTTTATGCATGTGCGTTCCCCTCACTAGTGCCTAAAGGAGTGGATGGATTTTATTCATATTACATATATAAGAGTTTATCCATAATAGACTGGTGTCTGGAAAACATCCTTGCTCCAAAAATAAGGGCCCTTCAGAGGAGCTCCAAGGAATAAAATGGCAGCTTTCTTTAAAATGGTTCTAACAATGGACTTGCAGTAATTTATGGAGACCATCTCCTTCATAAAATTGCACAGGCGGTATTTTTGGGAAAAGAACGATACACTTACCAGGGGCCCAAGTGACTATGCAACATGTACAAGGTCCGACAATTTAATTCCTGGAATAGCTACAGTGTGTCACTGGATTGTTGAGTCAGGCAAACTCATCTACCCAAGCACATTTGGACATGTTCCAACCTGCGTTTACATGAGCCACAGACCAAATGAGTACTTCTTTCCAAAGCATCAGAGGAAGTAGTACGTGTTCGTCGTATACTGTTGGTGGGGAAGAAAGTGACAAGAATCTGGAGCAGCAGATAAGCATCATGTTTTGTGTGAAGATTGGTAAAAGTGCTAGTGAAACGTTAGGCCTATTAACAGTGGCTTATGGTGAATAAGCTGGGAATAAATCAAGTGCTTTTTGAATGTCACAGGCGGTTTCAAGGAAGGGCTAGAAGATGTGCAAGATGACCCAAGATGTGGGCAGCTAAAAATGCAAAGGACAGAGTACAAATAGATGGTGAATCAACAGTGTTATTTGGAAGTGCTGGCAAGGTTACAGGAAACTGTTTGGAGGAAAAGACCTGAGCTCTGGCAATTTGATAGCCACTCTACTTTTAAAGAAGCTACCTGCTTTTGTGGGACCTGATGAACGATCACAGCGTTCATAAGAACTCAGTAAAGGACCTGAACGTGAGCCAATTCAATCCAGATTATATCTTCACGCACTACTTTAATGACATCCACTTTGTTATTATGTTTCAATCTATGCATTATTTCCCAAATGCTCTCTTATCATAATTTTTTCCAATCAATATTCCATGCGCATTTGTTTCACCCACACATGATACGTATCCCAACTAGCTCACCCATCTTACTTAATGATCCTAACAATAGAGGCATAAGATAAAGCTGTTCCTGTGCTTAAGCTCCATGCCATGGGGTGAGTGGAGGTAACACCTGATCCATTCTTAACCTTCGCTCTAGACAGAGATGAGCAGTCAGTTTCACGCTCCAGCCACTTTACTTCAGGAATGATCTCTTATTACCCAAGTGGATAGGAGAATGGGTGGACTCCTAAGCTGTTCTGAATATGGTAACAAGGACACATCCCTGCCCACCCAAGGACTCATACACTGGTCATCTAGACCACAATCATTGATTTTACTGACTCAGAAGCATCTGATGGTAATCATTACAAAGTCAGTTTCTTCACTCCTTTGTCATTTCACCTTTGCAAGATTTACCTATATGTAGCCCTTAGTAGTTCATTCACAAACACTCTTAATCTATGTAAGTTTTGAGGTTTTCACGGCGATGACAATGAAGAGAGTCGTCTTCTGGGTTTAGGCACCGGTTTAGGCACAGTGCCTAAACCCAGAAGACGACTCTCTTCACTCTTAATCTATGTTCTCCCTTTTCTTTGAAGGATTAAACTTTACACTCATAAAAATTAAATCACCAATCTTACCAACACTGTCTAATGCATAACCTCTTCTTTTCTCCAAGTACAAATATCCTGCACATAAGCGCATCAACGGTACTTCCAGCAATGACACAAGCTTTGAATCACTGACCCAGCCATTGGTTTTAAATAGCTGTTTCAGTTCTGACCATAACGTATCAGTTTGTAGATGAGACCTCAACTGTTCTGCTTCTTCAGCAGTCAGAACCCCTCTCTGGCCTAAGAACAAACACATGATTAATTGTTCCTTTGCCATGTTCAATGTGGCGGGAGAAAGCACATCTGAACAGCCTCTGTCATACGTAGTGAAATACAGAATGCCCATATGACGCACTATATGTTATCTTGTACAGGATGTTGTAGCCTTTCAACCCTCTTCTCAAAGGTCTTTTGATGTGGTTTCTAGTGGAATATGGATCTCAAGTGATCAATGGGATGTTCTTAACTGAAACTTGGAGAGATGACAGTCACATAGCATCTACTGCTAACGTAGGAGGGCACAATGTAGTGGTAACAACATATGAGTAATATGTCCAGTTGGAGTATGTCTATGTGAATGGTAAGATTAATTTTATACTTACCACACTGAAGATTAACACAGTATACTTATCAGCTGATAAGCCAATGGCACTTCAAATAAATACACACTATTATAATTTGAAACATCACAAACCAACTGTAATGGTTTCTACTCTTCAAGCGTGTGCACTGAAATCTAAAAATTCTGACAAATAGATCATATTTTTGTCTGCTACACTAAAATAACATTGGTACATTCTGACTGGTTTTCCTCTTCAGACACTAGTGATGTAAAGTATTCTGTATGTGCAACCATTAAAAGGCTCCCTTCATTTCACATAATCATACATACATTTACTGTTATTGTTTCACCCTGAAAATGTGAAAAGCCATGCTTACATTTTTCATAAAGTCATTTATTTATTTTAATAGAGCAGTACACAGATATTCCAGAGTAAGGAGTACAGGCTGCTATTTGAAACACAGTCTACTTAACATAAGTCAGGTTGGATTGGGTACAACAGTACAGTTTGAAATTAATTTGAAGGATATTTAAATTAAGAGATCTGCTAGCACCAAAACAAATGGCTTCAGCATGAAATGTAGGAGACATGGAGATAAGATATGCAGACAAAATTTTAGCCAAATATGTGAAGAGACCTGGGATAGCACAGTTGGTATAACAACTGGCTACAGGAAGGACAACCACGGGGTCAGAGTTAGAGTCCCGGTATGGTCAAGAATTTTCTCTTCTCCAAGTCGTCCAGACCAGCTCTGCTGTCCACCCAACCACCTATTCAATGGGTACTAGGGGCTCTTTCCCCAGTGGTAAAGCGGCCGGGGTGTGAAGTTGACCACTCACATACAGCTTGTGCCAAGGTCAAGGAAATGTGGATCTATACATCCACACTCGCATACACCTTCGTGGCATAGTGCTTAATTAGTTAAGCACTGAGACAACTTTACCTTTTATCTGAAGGTAAAAATGACTTGGAGACATAGACATAGATGGGATAATATTAAAATCAAACTCAAAGAAATAGGATGCAAGGGTCTGAAAGATTCAACTGGATCAGGAGTGTCCAGCTCTCGTGTGAATATGGTTCTAGATCTTTGGTTTCCATAAAAGGGTTGAAATTTCTTGACCAGCTGAACCTATAGCAGCTTCTAAAGGACCCTTATCCAAGGAGCTGGAGAACTGGACTCGTGGCATTTGACTGCTATGGAGAAGGGTTAATAAAATTATTAAAAGTAAGTATCTCATAATTATTTGTGATTTAAATGGCCNGAATTGAATTGAAATTCATCTACTGATAATATCTTACATGATAATTATAAAGTGGTATTCCACTGTCATTAACTTTCATGAACAGGTGCATTTTACGTTGACTGCATAAAAACTGGATATCAACCGGATGGCATTCTTTCATCACTGTGTTTCCAGGATAAAATTAAAATAGCCAATACATGCAGACAGAAATATTTATTATGTACCTCTGAACTAATTTTAAGTTGTCAAAATCAATTATTAATTTAAAATATGTAGTATGTACTAATATACAGATTGGTCTATTCTGTATTAAACTGTTCAGCTAGTCAGAGAATAATATTTTTATTTCACTTGTCTGGCTGAAAGGTTAACAGGTTAATATTTCACTACTCTAAGTGCCTGAAATTCTTCATAACAAATAGCAATGCAAAGTATAAATTCCCTACATCTTCTTAATAAGACCAAACATTTTATTAACTACTAATGTCAATTTCTGCCTAGGCACCTGCTGTATATAAAAATGACCATTTAAATTTAATGAGAATTTCTGGCTTAGCTATCAATTGCTGAATAAAGAAATATTTTATCCCTGCACACATATTTTTTATATATAAAACTCGTAAATTCTAAGACACAATATATTTATTGTATTTTAATATTTAATTTGTTCTGAGGGTTGCGTAAATTCACACAATGAGAATTCAGTACCTGTTCACCAGTTCTGTCCATAAGGGTGAAAGAGTTAAATCTAATTTTAATACCTTCAGTTTCACTGACAGAATGCATTACCTTTCTCTGCTGTCTTCAGTCTTTCCACAAGCCAGAAACGAAATGAAGGAATTGGCGATAAGCTAGAAAACTTGCTTACTAAAGGAAATTCTGCCTGAAGTTCTCTGACGACTCTCTTTATCAAATAATTTCCTAACTCAATCCCCTGTAAAAGAAAAGTCCCTAATCAAAACTAAGATATTAATATGGGAATGGCATTTAATATTACTTTACCTAGTTCACACTACCATAAGTGGATTCCTATCAGAGCAAAGATCTAAGAATACTCATTATAATGTCCAACATTTCAGCAAATAAAAGAACAACAGGAAAGAAAGTCCAAATGATGCCAGAGAGACCAGCTAACTTGAGTGTATTTCTTCATGATCATCATCAGTTCTTCAGCATTTATATCAGTCATGGTGTTATATATAGGATATTGGTGGGGAAGCCAGAAGGAAAGAGACCACTGGGAAGACCAAGGTGTAGGTGGGTGAACAATATTAAAATGGATCTTAGAGAGATAGGATGGGATGGTATGGCTCAGGATAGGGACCAGTGGAGGGCTCTTGTGAACATGGTAATGAACCTTCGGGTTCCATAAAATGTTGGGAAATTCTTGAGTAGCTGCAGAATTGGCGGTTCCTCCAGAAGGGCTCAACTCCATGAGTAAGTAAGTATGGTATAAAAGTGGCGAAAACTTTATTTTCAAAATGTTTTACAAGACTATGAACATTGCTTAAACTGTTATGTGTGGCAGACATAGAAAAAAATATTTATTGTTTCACAGACCTGAAGTCCTTTCTGTGTAGATGTGATAGAGTAAAATATAGCAGCCTTGACACAGGAAGGATCCTCAGTATGAGTATCAAGAAGCATACCAGGACAGGCTGAAGCATCAACTGAAAAATCACTACAAAAATATTAAAAGTTGTCAGAAAATATAACATAGGTTGGTGTGAAAAGCATGGGCTTTCAAAATTCATGTTTGTTGTGGGTTTGATACTGACAGGCTTCAAATGGTAACTTACGAAGGGGGACCCAAAAATAACCGGAACCGACCTGTTGCGCGCGCATGCTTTGTAGTTACGAGTTGTGCTGCTAGGTGGTGTTAGCTGGGGGTCTCCCGCGACTGTTAGTGAGCTGGCGTCAGTCTGGGTTAAGTGGTTTGTCTGTGGTGCTCTGTTGTGTGCGTTCCTGTTTCAACCCTTTGGCGATTAGTGAGATGGCCAACCAGAAGGAACAAAGAGTGTGTGTGAAACTGATGAAGATCGTCGAAAGACCATTGACCAACTTTCTGAGGAAACGAACATCTCATGGAGCACGGTCCAGCGAATTTTAACCGAAGGTTTGCACATGAGACGGGTGTCTGCAAAATTTGTTCCTCGCTTGCTCGGAGATGACCAAAGAGAAAACCGCGTGAATGTTTGCCGCGACTTGAAGAGTGAAGTGCAGTTTTCCCTAACAGAAAGCAAAATTTCACGCACACTCTTTGTTCCTTCTGGTCGGCCATCTCACTAATCGCCAAAGGGTTGAAACAGGAACGCACACAACAGAGCACCACAGACAAACCACTTAACTCAGACTGACGCCAGCTCACTAACAGTCGCGGGAAACCCCCAGCTAACACCACCTAGCAGCACAACTCGTAACTACAAAGCATGCGCGCGCAACAGGTCGGTTCCGGTTATTTTTGGGTCCCTCCTCGTACAGTATTTGACAATATTTAATTTCATTTAAACCATCTGTGGCTGAGGGAAGGAATAGAGAATATTAGAGAAAAAGGACATGAAGGAGTGAACAAGATGAACTGGCTCATGACAGAGTTCAATGGTGGGCATTTGTGAAGAGAGTAATGAACCTTCAGGTTACACAAAGATAGGAAAACACTTGTGATGCCTCTTTAGCTTTGGTTTGATCAGACATTTAAACACCCAGCAGTGAACACAGTAGGGCACTTAACACTCTAAGGGTAACACACTGGAACTCTGTGCCGAAGATCTTGGGCTTGAAGCTAGTTAATTCCAACACAGATTTCTTTATATGCTTTTCCATTTTCTTGCTTCTCTTCAACTCTCATATTGGAACACAGTATTTAGCTGCGTATAATAAGGATGACCCTTAAATTTGAGAGTTAAGTTTTATTTATTGCTAGTGGAGTGGGACTAAGTGCCTTGTACTGCAGCCACTTCTGGCCTATTGTACCAGCCCCAGATGATAGGTGAGGATGATTGTGGAGCAATTGGTGGAATGAAGAATGCAAGGGGAAACCGAAGTACTCAGAGAAAACCTGCACCAGCGCCATTTTTTCCAACACAAATCCCACTTGATCAGACCCGGGATCGAACCTGGACCGCCACGGTGGGAAGCCAGCGACTAACCGCTTGAGCTATGGCACGGCCGAGAGTCAAGTTACTACTGTATATTACCTGACATTCTTGAAGTTGCTGACACAATGCCCTTCATAGATCGAGCTATCTCATCACTCAAAGCTGTGTGCAATACTACCAATGGCTCATCAGGCATACTACTGTGTGTGTATACAAAGCATCTTCTGTAAAGTCCCACTCTACGCTTCAGGTCTGTCCAGTTACGCACAGGATGTACTGCCTCATATTCTGAAATCTATACCCACATTAAAAAGAACACAATTATGCACAGTAAATTTAATTACTCTATTGACTATGAATATGAATTAAGTATGGCTGAGAAGAAAGTGCCAAGGAAAATATGTATACCTACAAGAGACTGTAAAACCTCAAGGGATGAAGACTGCTTGGAAGTCCACAGCATACTTGTCTGGGATTAATATTAAAAGCATCTTGGCAAAAGAATTATAGAAAGAGTACATTAGACCCAACTGGACCAGGTTAGGGTCCAGTGTTTTTTTTTTTTTTGTGAACACAAGCGATGAACATTCCCATTCCATAAATGCAGAGAATTTCTCAATTATTCAAGTAACTGTGCCAACTTTTCACGAAATATTTTGTACCATGCAGTTACTCTTGGATTATAACACAAGTCTGACATAATGATGATGATGATGATGATGATGATGATGATGATGATGTTCTTATAAAAGTTTTCAAGAAATTGGCCCATAATGGAGAAAAGGAAATTGAAAGCAAAAATAGTCTACTGTAGATTAGTCCCAAATATAATTCAAAGTGAAAGGCCACATAGCACCTATATCTGCAACAGCGAGGCTGGTTGCAGAGCGGTTTGTGTGGCAGGGCATGCGGAAGGATTGCCGCACCTGGGCCCGGGCTTGCCAGTCCTGCCAGCGCGCCAAAGTCTCCCGCCAGACCGTGACTCCATTGGGCGACTTTACACTGGCGGCATCCCGTTTCTTACACGTCCATATAGACCTTGTGGGCCCCCTACTGACATCGGCAGACCACACATATTGTCTCACTGCAGTTGACCACTTTACCCAGTGGCCGGAAGTCATGCCCATCACAGACATCACAGCCGATACCATGGCACGTGCCCTACTGTCCGGTTGGATATCCCGCTTTGGTTGCCTGCAGACCATCACCACCGACCAGGGACGGCAGTTCAAGTCTCAACTTTTTCAGTCGCTGGCAAAACTCTGTGGCATCCAGCTGGCACGGACAACCGTCCACCACCCAGCAGCCAACGGCCTTGTGGAACGTTTCCACCGGACACTGAAGGCAGCCATCATGTGCCACGCAGATCAACACTGAACGGAGGCACTCCCACTGGTTCTCCTCAGGATCTGTACTGCGTTCAAGGAGGACCTGCAGGCATCGGTAGCCAAGCTTGTGTACAGTGAGCCCCTCAGAGTTCCTGGCAAACTGCTAACACTGACCGCTGAATCAGCAGACCCAGCACAGTTAATCACNGGGGGGGTGATGTGGGAACATTCCCACAGCATCTGGCAGACAATTGTCACCCCTTTCAGAAAGTGCCAAACAGGCAGCTGTGACCAAAGCGACGCAGTATTTATACACTAGCTTATATACTAGCTGCAAAGCTGCACACATATTTATAACCTCACCTGTGGTCCCACCTTTCTGTACACGGCCAATGGGTACACGCCGTGACACCTGCAACGTTAGCTCCGCCTCCTGGCCGGCAGTATTTAAGACCGGGAGCCAACAATATGGGCAGTTCATCCCGAGACAGCAGCACAGTCAGAGGCATCAGCTCTTCACGGCAACCAGGCAACTGACATAGTTAGCGCAAGCCTCCAGTGACCAGGCAACTGAAGTAGTAGCTGCAAGTCTCCAGTGACCAGGCAGCGAACGCAGCTGCCGCAACTCCAGCAACTGGCCGAGGCAGCATTACATCACTGTCCCAACAGGCCAGCTGGATGGCTGTAAGACTCTGTCTACTACGGAGGAGCGAAATCTGCCGGCACACTCGCGGTGAAACGATCAGTGAGAATAGGCAAATAGCAAGTGCGTGTGGTGAACTTTAATAACCACCCCACACTACCATACATGTAGTGATTCCCACAGTCACGCTGATGGTACAAAATATCCACTACTGCACAACTCATTCTTCTTTTGTGTATCCACTTCAAACTTTACACTGTGATTCAAATGTACTTTCAACACTACAGAACATGTATTAACTCTGATTTGTTTCATTCTGGTCTGTCAGACTAACAATTATAAATACAAACCACTCTGTCCAATGTGACATATATATATGTCACACTGGACGAAGTGGTTTGTATTTATATGTATTAACTCTATTATAATCTTCCTGTTTCACTGGTTACAATGAGACAGTCAAAAATATAGGCTGTCTGACTTTTGCTTATGTTTATATTGTTCCGTATTAGGGTTGTGACTATTAGATGGGGTTTTGGATTGGATTTATTGACACCTTATACATACAACTTATAGCTACAAGTAATACAGCCCTATCACTGATCTGCACACTTTACAGTTCTCCATTACACACACTAGTGTTCTCAGTCTTCACTAGTCGTATCCTGGCAATGGATTTATAACAGTCTCACTGTCACTGCAGCATACTATGAAGTCTTCTTTGCACAGCCTGATTCCTTCTTATCATTTCTTCTCAATTATTCTGCCAACTGCCAACTCCAGAGACTCTCTCAATTCTAATTCTAGATGGCCTGTAATCCTTGTTATACAGCTTTGGGTTGGCCCCAACAGAAAACACCATTTCCTAACAATTCCTCTGTTGTTATAGAGGTGTGTTCACCTCGCTGTTGCAGGGAATTGGAAGTTCTTTGACTGTTGTTTGCATATTTATTGCTGCAGGAATGTGTTCACCAAACCGTTGCCTTGCACTGGATGTCTGCTCTGGCTCCACTATTCTGGCTTTCAGGTGTTATGTCACAATATTCTTTCAGACCTGTAATGAATATCTGTTATGGCATAAATTTTAAGTGAAGTCATGAATTCTTGTTATAATGGACTTTGACTGTATCTAAACAGCTTTCAGTGTTCCATTCTCTCATTACAAAGCCTATCCTACAGACTATACTGTAATAAAATTTTCTGCAAAATGTTGAACAAAAGAAATTATGTCCAAAATGAGAAGCAGAAGCTGTTCAAAGTCTTGATATGTGGCATGGTTGTGCCATCTCTTAACCTATGTATGAAACACACATAATTGAAACCCAGCATGCAAAACAAGCAAGATCAGTTCGTGGGCAGGCCTAGCACAATCTGTCTCATCATTTCATCCAGTTCATTAATTTAGTAAATGTAATTAAATGCAATCCACTGGTATGTGCTTAACAATATTTATTTGAAGTCTAAAGAATCCAGTGTCTTAATCTGAGATCACCACATCCCCTATGGATTTAGTATTAAAAGTATAACCATCTACACGTAACAAGTCACATAAATATCTGGAACTAAAAATCAGATGTTCTCACTTTCTGTAACATTTCACAAGGTGATCTCCAGGTAATTCTCTCCAAGTTGAGAAATCCCACAGAGAACCATAAAGACAGCATCTCCCTTAGTGTAAGATTCAGCTGCTGCATGGGCACCATAGCAGGATCTTCAACATCCATCTCTGAAATCACAGCCTGAAACAAAACATGAAACAGTTCCTCTGTTCTATCAGGTGAAAGAAAATGTTTTTCTGCTGGTTCTGATCCTACTACCACTAACATCACAACAACAATCACCATCACTACTACTGCTACTGCCACCGCCGCCACCACCGCCGCCACCACCACCACCACCACCAACACTACTACTACTTCTACTTGTACTGATACTAATACAACAAGATTCAAGTTATGAAAAATCTTAATATATAACAAAAACTGAAATAGGAAATCAGTAATATCTTATTATTTTACCTGAAAATGAATCAGTCATATGGTTATCTTATGTGACCACATAAACTGTCCTCTTACATAATTATGAAGGATACAGGAGAATGATTGTGAATAAAGAATTAGATGATGCTAAAGAATGTGATCATGGCCTTACTCACAGTACCATCTCAGCATAAAAATTGAAGAAAGCCTCAATCAGATTAGACAGCAAACAGTTGATTGTGTTAGCCAATATTTTATTGGAATTTGCACATTAATATTTTACTCCTGCAGAAACTTAAATACATGATGGTATGCAAAAAATTAAAGGCAATTATTTTATTAGGTTTGACACATTAATTGGATACAAGATACAAGATCATATATCTTATTTTCTGTGTAACTGTATTACTTCGCAATCACTTTTCCTGATTCTATCAAGATGAAATATCTGTAGTTGGGCCTTAAGCCAGCCATTCCTGCATCACTTCTTTCATTTCACCACATTTATTAAACACGGAACTTCAACAGTGATCGATTATATGGTTGTCCCAGATACACTGACAGACATGTTACTTGACCCCAACAAGTGATAACTGATGGCCACGCACACATCATCAACAACACTTGCTACTNAGCCAATATTTTATTGGAATTTGCACATTAATATTTTACTCCTGCAGAAACTTAAATACATGATGGTATGCAAAAAATTAAAGGCAATTATTTTATTAGGTTTGACACATTAATTGGATACAAGATACAAGATCATATATCTTATTTTCTGTGTAACTGTATTACTTCACAATCACTTTTCCTGATTCCATCAAAATTAAATATTTGTAGTTGGGCCTTAAGCCATTCCTGCATCACTTCTTTCATTTCACCACATTTATTAAACATGGAGCTTCATCAGTGATCGATTCTATGGTTGTCCCAGATCCACTGACAGACATGTTACTTGAGCCCAACAAGTGATAACTGATGTCCACCCACACATCATCAACACTTGTCTACTTCTGCTTGAAACTTCCCATCCATTTATAAATTTCCCACTGGTTCCTAGTTACTGCATACTGGACTGTCATTATTGTATAAATCCCACTTGTTGTCACACCTTCTGATCATAAATACTGGATCACAGATTGGTATTCCTTGGGGTACTCTATAAATGAGCAGTTATGTTAAACAAGCCACTGTATTATCACTAATGAGGTGATAATGAAAACTAACTAGGCGCACCTGAGGGAAGGCTATATGTGCCAACCTTTTTAGCAATATGAACTTCAATTTAAATGTAAACTAAAATTTAATATGCTTTTTTTACTTTCAATCACAGTTCAGTCAGTAAACTGAATAACTATGGGTTACACTTAAAAGCCAGGCACTGATCACAAACCTATTTTTCTTCTCCATAACCTGTAATTAATACATCAAGAGTTTCTTCATAACTTACAGTATGGTCTTCTTATCAACTACTTATTTCATTTTGATCACTACAGGTAACCAAAAATATCTGCATAAAGAAGACCATGTCAGTTAGTAAACTCTGATGTAAGCTAAAAGTATGTACTGTTGTAAAAGAAGTACATGTAAAGAATAATCCCATCTTGATAGATCAACATACCAAAATATCAGTTCGCAAATCAACGAGAAATTTTACTCCTCTCTCCAGGCGACCCATATGGATGAATAACCATGAATATTGTGGGGTGAGAAGGTTCTTGAGCCATTCTTCTGCTTTCATAATCTGACGTCTGTTGGATTCATTTTCATGCTTCTGCTGCTGGGAGAAATTAACAACTTAAAATCCCTTATTTCAAAACATACTTAGTAAAAGTGCAGAATGGAACAGAACAATGTACAAAGAGTACAAAGCGTGCAAAGATGACTTGACTTATTTATTTATAACTCAGAGCCAGAGCAGACATCCAGTGCAAAGCAACAGTTTGGTGAACACATTCCTGCAGCAATGAATGCAAACAACAGTCAAAGAACTTCCATTTCTATGCAACAGCGAGGTGAACACACCTCTATAACAACAGAGGAATTGTTAGGAAATGGTGTTTTCTGTTAGGGCCAACTCAAAGCTGTATAACAAGGATTACAGGACAGCTAGAATTAGAACTGAGAGAGTCTCTGGAGTTGGCAGTTGGCAGAATACTTGCATTATTCAACTACATTCTTCCACAGTGTCAAAAGAGATGGGATAATCATCATGAACAAGTATCTAAGGATGCGGAAGAGGGACACTGTTACTGCTATATCAACCTACTTGGCAGAGTGCATGAGTGTTTTCCAAATGTTCTCCTGCGTTAAAGTGGCCAGGGCATAATTCCACAGTGTCAAAAGAGATGGGATAATCATCATGAACAAGTATCTAAGGATGCGGAAGAGGGACACTGTTACTGCTATATCAACCTGCTTGGCAGAGTGCATGAGTGTTTTCCAAACGTTCTCCTGGGTTAAAGTGGCCAGGGCATAAAACTGGCCACTCACCTCCATACAGAATCAAGTTCAAGAATGGTGGAGCTATATGTGCACTCCCCCATGTCTTCAAGCTATACTACTTAATTAATTAAGCACACAGAAAACTTTGCCTTCCTTTACAGTTTTATATTTATATGCATATTGGATTGATGTTTATTTAATGAACATAAAAATCTATTGTTGATAAAGCTTATCAAATGGTACGGAAATAATACTGAATAGCATAAATTATCTGCTTTATTGTAGTTACTTAAATACAGTAAACTGGTTATCCATCATCCAAGCATCTGGAATTCTCAGCAACTGGCAAAACTTGATAAAAATAAAAATTATACTTTTTTGTAGTGTTACTTCAAAAACAGTGTTGCAGTGCACATATGCTCACATACCATGTGGTATGTGAGCATGGATTTAAAGGACAGCTATGGAAAAAATTAAATTTTCAGCATAACAAAGCATGCCAAATATTCACTGAATGGTGAAATCCCTGGATTGACAGATGTGTTCAACAAAGTTATATAAAATCTTACCTCTATATGTATCAGTGACGTTGCTGCTTTGCATACCATCTGATGGTCCACAGCATGATCAGAAGCTAACACTTTCAGGACACCATCTCGATGTGTCTTCAGTAGGCATTTATATGCAGCACAGAGGTTCTTAACTTTACTCTGTAAAACACACAAGAAGAGACACTTATTTGTATAAAATGGATACTTACCCAATAAGCATGTTTAGGCCGCACCATAGCTCAAGGGGTCAGTCGCTGGCTTCCCACGGCGGCGGCCCGGGTTCGACCACGGGTCTGGTCACGTGGAATTTGTGGTGGACAAAGTGACGCTGGGGCAGGTTTTCTCTGAGTACTTCGGTTTCCCCTGTCAATCTTCATTCCACCAAATTCTCCATCATCATAATCATCTTGAGCAGGTACAATAGGCAAATCAGCAGCAGATATGCTGAGGGAACCCGGCTGGACTCCACCCCCAACTATGTGAATTTAATTACTCAAGAAGCAAATTACTGATACAGATACAGGATTTTTTAAATTGACTTTTAACCATACGGAAACAGTCATAGCTGCTGACAAGACTTTAAACCGATTTATTCATTCATATAGGAAAACAAGGCATAACTGCTTCCAAACCCTGTGCATGATATGCATTAAAAGCCCAAGCATTAGTTTGTCTGGAAAGGACACAGGCAGCTGTGTGAGCATACAAAAGCCAGTAAAGGAATTCTGGTGTTGGGTCTGTGTCATTACACTACCTCGGCTGCGACATTCGTCATTTCACATTTGGCCACTAGCTGTAGCTGACCACTTAAAATAATGCATTAATGGATAAGAGTATCATTTCCTTCTTCCATGATGTGACATCTGTAATCTGCACTCACTCCAGATATATTCTGCCATGCAGCCAGCTGCAGAAAGTGAAGCACTATCACTCCTGCCACACTGCAGGTAAGTTATTTATGTCATATCACAGAGCAATATCACAAATTGGCCATTTGTGAACCAGTCCAAGATAAATTGTGTAGCTGGGTGGAAAAAGATGAAAATTGGTTTCTCTGCGCAGCAGGAACTTCTGGAGCTGCTGTAAAGATACATATTGTGTACCTCTGCCTAAGCACCATTTGAAGGAGATTCAAAGATACAACTTGTTAAAATGTACTTACTTACTTACTTACTTACTTACTTACTCATGGAGCTGAGCCCTTCTTGAGGAGCCGCCAATTCTGCAGCTACTCAAGAATTTCCCAGCATTTTATGGAACCTGAAGGTTCATCACCGTGTTCACAAGAGCCCTCCACTGGTCCCTATCCTGAGCCAGATTTATCCAATCCATACCATCCCATCCTATCTCTCTAATTAGCTTAGGGCTGTTAAAATGTATGGACCCTAAAATGTATAGCAGCACCTGCACCATATCAGCATGTATGTTGTCATCCCTCTCACATATTCTGGCCATCACATACTATCAAATGAAATATATAGCTCCATGCATTTAACACTCCTGCAAATTATATACAAAATATTGTTCCTATAAGTCAATAATTACAAAAATTGCAATGGTATCAAACTTTGGGGTTATAGTTAACATATTCAACATAGGCAGAATCTGCAAAATTGAAAAATTTTATGTTTAAACACATTTTTTTGAACATGGGATGAAGCTAGGATTTTGGAAACTGAAAGTAACATGAAATACAAGAAATCAGCTCACATGGCACATTTAAACAACCCAATCAGTCAATCCAGTCTGGATACTTCTCCCATATTGTTCCCCTTTATCAGAAATGAGGTTAGCCGACTCACAGGGAAGGTCTATATGATATGACAGATTCTTCATGGGTACCTATACGATCTATGTGATTTTAGTCACAGGGTTCAATTTTTGCTCCAATGATGGCACGAGCAGTAGGTTGAAATGAACAACAACATCAAAAACTTAAAAACAGAATATGTAATAAGCTACCTCACTGAAGAAATCCCTAAATCATAAAATACTAGCATAAAAATTAAGTTTCTATGGAATCTGAGGTACAGCTGCACAGTGATTCAAAACATACCTTCATAACAGAAAGCAATGAGTAGAAATAAAATCAGCACCCTCAGATTATAAAACCTACTCTCACTGGGGCATTATAAAACATGGAGTTTTTCAAGGTCAGTACTTAGGTTACATTTTTTTCCCACAACCATGAACTTGCAATCTAAAGTCACACTCTTGGCTGATGATATTAATATTATTATCACATCCAGAAACTGATTACTTTCAAAATTTCTAGTTTTAACAAATGGTTTAAAACCAATAAATTTGCATCAAATTTTGATGAAACTGTCTTGACATTTTGTACTAACAGTAAAGCTTGTATTAACCCTAATCTAAATACAGTGTACAATACTAAAACAACTGAAAAAGCAGAAACACTAAATTCCTCGGCCTTAAAATTGACAGTAATTTTAATTACAAAAGAACATACTGAATATATTACCCCCACATTAAGTTCATTATGCTTTGTTATGAGGACAGCAACATCACTCATGAAAACAGAAGCTTTAACATTAATCTACTTCCATTCTATCATGTCACATAAAACAATTTTCTTGGGATATTCAACAGACATCAAAACGTGTTTTGCAACCAAAAGACAATCATTAGAATAATGACAGGCAATAAAAAGAAGATCTCTGGTTGGACATTATTTAACAAATTTTGTATTCTTCTGCTGGAAACATTTTAAACAAATTCAGATATACACAACAAAAGATACAGGGCATGCGGTAGCGTAGTTGCTTGAGGCGCACTGCTACAAGCCGGGAGGTCACGAGTTCGAGGCCAGAGGTGGATTTTTTTTTTTAATTTACCTAATCCTCCCAGCTGCACTATGGCCCTGGGGTCAACTCAACCAGCATAAATGAGTGTCAGGAATGTTCCTGGGAGGTAAAGAGCAACTGGCGCGTAAAGTTGACAACCTTATCGCCATCTGTGAGTTGACTGTCTAGGGAAAATGCTTGAGCCTCGACATCTCACAACCTTATGGGTCTTCATGGCCTGTTAGGGGCATAGTTCTTTTTAAGTATAAGATATAACCTCTATGTGCCAACCACTAACCTCAGTAAACATCACAAGGTGTTTACTGGAATTAAGTTATTCAGTAATATTTCTCATACAACACAGTGTTTGAATCACAATATGAAAATGTTTATGCCAGCATTATAAGAGTATCCCCTATCTCCCTCCTTATTCTACTTTGTACAAGAATTGACTTCAATCTGAAATACTTGGTTATAAATACATGTACGAACAATAGGGTTCTTCTTTGATATAATTATTTTGGTGCAATTATGTATCATAAGAGATGTCTATCAATATGTAAGCAGTTCTCACAGCTCTGCATTTATATTTACATTTGAATTAAAAGACCCACCGAGCCTCCTACCCAATGGGTAGTAGAGGCTTTCTCCCCAGGAGTAGAGCAGCTGGGATGCAAAGCTAGCCACCCACCTCCATCTAGTGCAGAGGTCAAGAATAGTGGAGCTACATGTCCACTCCTTCATATGTCTCAGTGTTGTGGTGCTTAATTAATTTAGCACTGGAATAACTTTACCTCATTGAAAACAAGTACTATATCTGTATTACAATATATTCTATAGCTTTGATTTAGGCCTCTGAAGGATTTATGGAATGTAAATGAATTCTACTGCATTATAAGAAAACGTTTTGGTACCAATTATAAAGTTTGTATATATCCATATGGCAACTGTAAAGTTGAGCATATTTTACACTTTTGCAGGGAAAGGAATAAACATTAATTTTGGTGCATTTTCCATTAGGAGGTGAAAATTAAATCCGTCACACAGGGTCTATTGATGGGCACGGGATGGCGGGATTATGAGAATACTTCCACTTTTGAGAATTTCTCATGACTGTTCAATCAGTTTGAAACAATACAAACATACCTCAACAATCCAACTGCTAACGTTGGTTTCTCGGTATGCAAGAATTTCTTTCAAAAGGTTCTTTACTCTCTGTTCGTCTTCTACAGTACTTGGCCGTTTAATATTTTCACTTGAAGGATAGTAATCAGGGTTAGAATTATCTTGTCCTGCTTGACTGTCATTTGAAAGACTGGGGGCTGCGCTTAATCTTTTCGCATCTAATTTCCGTACTCCGTTGTTATCACGCTCACCAGTAGCCATATGTGTACACCAGAGTGAAAAGCTATAACTTTTGCGGTTAATATCACGAAAGTTACGACCAAAAACAATCCACGGCTGTAAACACAGCCCCTTACTTAACCTGAGCAACTGCGCGCCTTTCATAACGCGATGCGATTCTCAGCTTTTACCAGTTTTCATTCATCTACACGCAAGTAAATAAATAGTAGTTGGTGTGGCTGGATGCAAGTTTACGCATGAGCATTAGCAGTAGAAACTGAAAATCTGTATGATGTGTATTGACGGTGTTGACAGTGATATCAAGATAAAATTGCAGGTATCAATTAAGTAAATAAGAAGGCAATGCACGGTAGTGCGAACGTCACGCATGGTCAGGCACACAGATCTTATAGCTCGTTATAGCTACTATGCCAGTTGTAAACAAATACAACTTGAAGCGCAACAAATGAACGTGGGTAGAGAAGCACATTTGACATGCCAAAACACGAAATAGGTGTTTTAAAATTACCGTTGCTTTATTCAGCATGAATGCATCTTGTATCAGCAAATACAAAACAATTCTCGTAAGGAAATGAGCCGTAATTATTCCGGTGTCAAAGGCGAACACAATGTTTTAAATTAGTGGCCGCATGAAAATATTGATTTTTTGTTTCCGTATGTGAGCCTGCATATGAGCCTTTATACAGACTGCCAAGTCTGATATGAGAACTGACAATGCGGAAAGTGTTAAAATTTGTTAAAGGCAAACGAGAAGACAAAAAGGAACATGGATCTTCAAGCAGATCGAGTGGGCCCTTTGCTGATCATCTAAGCGCAGTTGATCAGTTAACCCCTACAGATGACCATTGTACTGGACTTGAACAAGGCTTCGGATATTATGTTGATCTCAGTGGAAAGGATAAAACAATTACAAAACTTCACAAAGCTGCATGGCAAGGAAATTTGGAAAAGCTGAAAGTTAACATGAAGAAGATTGATATGAATGTTGCCGACAGGCTGAATAGAACTCCATTGCATTTTGCAGCAGCACAGGGACACGCAAATATAGTATGGTTTCTTTTGGGAAACAAAGCAAATTTCAATATTTGTGACAATGAAGGGAAAACTCCATTTCTGAAAGTAATTATTTTGTTTTCTTTATTATTCTATCTGTAACATTTAGAGCTACTGCAGTGTGTATCAGAATTTCTTATGTTCTTGCATTGTCGTTTCAGGCAGTTGAATGTGGACATAAAGAAACCATACAAATCATGCTGGAAAGAGGAGTAGATATCAACACCATTGACTATAGTGGCAATTCTGGTCTACATATTGCAGCAAAACAGGGCTTCTATGAAATCACTTCCACATTATTGAAACAAGGAGCAAATTTTGAAAGTTCAAATAATGTAAGTATCCAAGAGATAGTATATCAGTCCATTCAAATTTTCTGTAATTAGGAAATAATCAGTTTAGTTCTTAATGTGATGTTTATATCCATGATATGTATGCAGTGTCCGTCTATTAGTGCCCTCAATTTCACTTGTTATTTCACAACATGTTTCGGCACTATAGTGCCATCATCAGGTGCTCCATTTACGTTAATCTATTTTATTTCTTGCCATTATGTCATTGTAAAATTTAAAAAAAATATTTAAAATGTTCGTCAATTATAATAAATATTTATATACTAAAAACTTGTTAAAATTATTTATCTTATCTGTCCCAATTCTAACACCGCGCATAGTTCCACCACTATGGGAGTCGTTCCTCTTACTCTCAGTGTATATCGTGTCTCGTGTTGTGTGTTCCCTTTTTGGTTGCCAGTGTTTATATGGTTGGGAGTTTAGTATGTAGTAGGGCCAACTGTGTTGCACATTCCATGGAGGAGGGTAATTTTTCAGAAGCTGACATTGCTCAACCAGCCAAGAATTCCCTGCCATTTATGGAACCCAGAAGTTAATTACTATGTTCACAACAGACAACCACTGGACCCTATCCTAAGGCAACTGAATTTAATACTTTATGGTATGGACAGTCCTATTTACAATATTGTAATGCTTAAAAGATCCAATTTTAGCCTACTTTCCTTATTTTGGAAAATGAAAGTAGGCGTATGAGAGCACAGCATTATACTTCAGCATCCTGTAGCACTGTGTATTGTAAATTAGCACTTGCTGTTGTCACCATACCTGTGCAACTTCGTCAATGTATTAAAATTCACACTTTGAAAGCATTCTTTTCTTCCTGTTATTAAAACATTACATGTTTCAGCCCAGCTTGTCATCATCAGGTATACAAGTTGTAGAGGAAACTGCTGTGTGTAGCTACACAGTGCCAAAGAAAATCCAACACACCATTCATTCATTTTTATATTATCCTATAGATCAAAATACGTTGATATGGCACATGTCCATTTATATTATTATTTATTTATTTATTTTGTCTCTATAGATGATTGTTACATGATATAGGACAAGTCAGTTACTGTACATTGGCTGATTACAATAAGAGAATAAAGTTACAATACTTAAAATTGTTTACAATAGATTACAATAGTTAAGATTTCATATAGTGTGAGGTGGAATCCAAATTAGGTCCCCTTGGCACATAGGCTTCCATATGTCCTATTGTACCTGTACTGGTGATAATGCTTATGGATAATTTGATGGAATGAGGATTATTATTTAAAGAAATTAATGCTTATGGTATAACCTTATTAGAAATAGAGCTTATTCTGTACTTCTGCTTATTAGTAACTAATATTACAGAATTATTCATTGAGATAATCTTCTATTGAATAATAACATCCCATAATAAGAGAGTTCTTCAATACCTCTTTAAATTGGATGTCATTATTTATCTGCTGTATGTTGTTAGGCAAATTATTGTAGAAGATACAACCTGCTACTGATGGTTTACTGCAATAAAGTTCTAAATTATGGACATACCTATGACAGCCATTATTATTTTTTGTGTTATATGTATGCATTTGTTTATTTACAGTGTAGTTGCACTTTTATTTTACCTATAAGATTGTTTCTTGACTGTATAGTGAGATACTCTTAATATCTTTAGTTGCCTGAAGGTATTTCTACAAAGGCTGGAACTTTAATAGTGGCAACTATTTATTTACAACTGATGCAAAATAGATGCATGTTTCGAAGTTTTACTCTCCTTCAGTGTAGTCACCAGCATTGTGTACAACCCATTGCCAGCAATGTGGAAGTCATAGGATACCTTTAGCAGCGATAGTTTGAATGGAACGGTCTACTGCCTGAAGAATCTCTGGAACAGTTCTGAAGCAAATGCCACAAAGTGGTTCCTTTATCTTAGGAATCAAGTCGAAGTCACAAGGGCTTAAGTCCGGGGAGTATGGTGGATGGTACAGCACTTCCCAGCCCCAATGATTGAACAGATCAGCCACAGCTCGCACTGCATGTGGCCGAGCATTGTCCTACAAAATGATGGGTGGGTTCTGCAGAACGTGTCGCCGCTTCTTTCTCAAAGCTGGTCACAGGTTGTGTTCCAAAAATGAACAGTAATATTGCGCATTGACGGTCTGCTGCCTGCCTTGAAATAGATGGAGGCCACTCTGAGCACCTATAATTACTGTGAGCTCCCTATTTCTTATCAGTTTTCTGTTTCCTACTGTGGGCTGAATGGAGAACATCCTAAAGCATGAAATTAAATGTATATTATTCCAACATTTATAATAGCCAAGGCTGCTACAGCAGTGTTGAATTATTGACCTACAGTTTGTGGATGCTGTTCAAATCTTTATTCTTCAACTAGCCTGTACAGTAATGGCACCTACAAGAGGGAGGATAATGAGTAGCACTGCAAAGGGCAACTGGGACAACTTCTGCATAGCAGGGAACATATGAATATATTGCAGATTTATTTTTGAGTGACTTTATAGAAGTGGTAAATTTTCTTTGACATTTATGCTGGTTGAATGACAGTTCCAGATGCTTGGATACTATATAACCTGGAGTTTATTGTACTGTGACACAGACTACAAGAACAAAATGTAGGACACGTGAAATTTCCAGCTATGTGTGTGTGAACTTGTTGAGATAATTTAATAATAATAATACATTTTAATTTCAGTTTGGTGAGTTTCCCCTTCACATTGCTACAAAAGCTGAACATAAGGACCTAGTTGAACTGCTGCTAAGATATGGTTCATCTGTTAATATTGTTGATAGAGACAATCGATCTCCACTCATGTTTGCTGCTAAGTGTGGAAGCATGGCTTTGGTACAGTTATTTCTAGAGTATGGAGCTCAGCGTGGGGTTATGGATTCAAATGGTAAATAGTGGTTTTCGATAGTTATAACTAAATAACTTCTTAAGCAGTGATAGTTTCCAGTTGGCCAAGAAATTCCTTCCTTTGTCCCGAGACACCCGAAAGTTTAGCTCCATATTCAGGAAAGCATACCATTCGACCTTATCCAGACCATTTCAGCCCAGTTCACTTTGTATCTCACAAAGATCAGTTTTAACAGAATCCTCCAATCTACATGTAGATGCCTCAGGTGATCTGTTTCCATGAAGTTTTCCCACCAATACTGGGGCACACATTAGTGTAGTTAGTTGAGGCACTATGCTACAGGCCAGAAGGTCACGGTTTTGATTCCTGATGAAGTCATTGGGGTTTTCAATAAACTAAACCTTCCAGCCACACAATGGCACTGGAGTTCACTCAGCCTCTAACAGAAATGAGCACCAGGAATATTCCTGGGGGTAAAGGGCAGCCAGTGTGTAACACTGATGACCTCACCACCATCTGTCAGTCAACTGTCTAGAGAATGTGGGAGCCTCGACATCTCAGAACCCTGTTGGCCTCCATGGCCTGTTACAAGGTTATCTTTACTTTCTCATATATACATTTTTTTGGACACAGCGGTACATAGTTTTTTAAATATAAGGAAGCAATAATTTGTCCAATATTATCCTTCAGATTTGTTTCTGTGGTGTGCCATTTAGGAGAAATATGGCAGTTTCTGTATCCAGTGTGTCAGCTGTATCTAGTTTTGTAAATAAGATCAGTAACTTTCATGAGGTTGTCTCCGGTTCTTTCCGTGATGCTCCATTAGTGGGAAATGGTAGTTGAGATGTCTGCTGTATAGAAGTTGAACACTCCTATACCAAATCTTTGAGTCAGAAAATCGAATGATTTTCTTCGAGTTGTCCTTCCAATTTTTCCTTGGCAGTGCATCATTGGGAGATATATGGTAGTTTGTATATATGATACATAATTTTTTTACACCAGTGTGCTTAATTTTTTAAGTAGAAAAATCATTATTTTTCTTGAGTTTCCTGACAGTACACCATTTTGCAGAAACAAGACAGATTTTGTGTGTGTGTGTGTATATATATATATAAGCTTTTGTACACACCTGTCTATAATTTTTGAAATAGGAAAAAGTCAGTGATTATCCCCCCCCCCTCCTCAGCATGCAGGAAAATCTGCATTGTGGTTTGAGGAACTGCTTTTATTGTCCATTGTGGTCAATTTTATGATCTGTGGGTTTTTGAATTACGTGTAATACACTGTGTGTCCAGGATCTGTTAGGACTCATTTTCTTAAATTTTGCCCTGTAATACCATCTGTTGGCAAGTTGTGGCGTTAAGATTCTTGAAGTTTCACCTGTGGCTGTCTATAATTTCAAAGTGCAGGCATCGCTGCATCATGTGGTCTGACCTTGATTGTAACAGTACTGTTCTGACTCTCGTCGGAAAGTGCCAGAGCATCATATTTTGTTTGAAATTAGGCAAAACAGCCATAGAAGCATACAAAATGATGAAAAGTGTGTACAGTTGTGATTGTTTGAGTCACTTGAACATTTCTTGATGGGATGCTGTATTTCGTGATGGCAGGGAGGACATTAAAGATGCTCCACATGCATCAAAGCCGAGAACAAGTCGCGCTGAAGAAAACATGAAAAAAGTGACCGAAATCCTTGCATCAGACAGGTGTGTTTCTGCAAGACTCATTGAGGAGCTTTTGTGAATACCAAAAAGTACTGTGTATTAAATTTTGACCAAGGATTTGGGCAAACGGAAGGTCTGTGCATGGTTTGTACTGCTTGTGCTCTCAGGCAATGAAAAACATGCCAGAGTGGAACACTGTAAAGACGTGTTACGGTCAGCCCAGAGTGATACAAAATTTACAAAATCGATTGTTACTTATTACCAGATATGGTGTTCTCAATATGGACCTCTCACAAAGCATCAGAGTGCAGCGTGGTTGAGCCCAAAGAAGCCGAAACCAAAGAAAATGCACATGCAAAAGAGTCGAGTAAAGACATGGCTAACAGTTTTCTTCAATTCCAAAGGAATCATTCACAAGGAATTTCTGCCAGAAGGTCAAACAGTGAATTCTGATTATTATCTCAGAATCCTCAAGTGTTTGTGGGCTAGAATTCTTCAAATTCGACCCGAATATTGAGAGCAAGGTTCCTGGTCGCTATTCCACGACAATGCCCCACCCCACAAATCGAAGATTGTGCGCGATTTTTTTGCCAGAAAAGGGATCACAGTCCTTGATCATCCTCCATATTCACCAGATTTGTACCCAGCAGATTTCTGGTTGTTCCCAAAAGTTAAGTTGGCAATGAAAGGAGACTGTCAAAACACCATCCAGGACATACAAAGGGAATGTACCACAGTTTTAAATGCGATTCCAAAAAAGGAGTACAGTGACTGTTTTCGAAAACTTTTCAATCGATTCCAGCTATATATTGATTCAGAAGGAGACTATTTTGAATAAAAAGAGTGATAGTTTGAAAATAATTCATGTCTTGTATTTTTAATGAACACAGTCCTAACAGAACCTGGACACAGTGTGTATGCATGTAACTTGGTGACATTCAAAACGCGTTTAACTATCACTGTTACCATAAAAACAAATTCACTGGCATCATAATCCCAGTTTTTTTTTTTAAAGGGAAGGGAAGACCTGAGAAAGAAATTTGAAGCCAGCAACTAACTGCTTGAGCTATGGTGCAGCCTAACTGCAGGTAACTAGCAGTTTCAGAGAGCTACACACTCCACAAGTAACACACAAAGTGTTCTGTCCTTTCACTAGGCGTTTCTAGGTAACAGGTCCCAACAGCGGAGATTCTTCTGCTCTTGTGTTGTTTATGTTGTTGGTCAGCTGGCTATCATCTTGCAACTCCTCATGGTCGCAACTGACTCATGATGGCAACTCTTTTTTCTTTGTCTTAAATCCAAGGTCATGCCACAGCTTGCACAGTAAATAATCAGCTTCTTACCACAGTGGTCCTGGTTCGGTACCAAGTTTAGGTCATATGGGATTTGTGGCAGACAAAGTGGCAAAGGTGCATGGTCCCTCTAGATACTTCCACTTCACCTGCCAATTCTCATTCCACCAACTTGTCCACATTTATTGATGATCTTTTCACCGAGGATGCTTAGTTTCATTACTGACAATGTCATTAAATAACCAACTTAAAAGAGACTGTTTTGTGGTGGACAAAGTGGCGCTGGGGCAGGTTTTCTCCGAGTACTTCGGTTTCCCCTGCCAATCTTCATTCCACCAATTGCTCCACCATCACCCTCACCTATCATCTGGGCCTGGTACAATAGGCCAGAAGTGGCCGCAGTGCAAGGGACTTAGTCACCCCACTAGCAAAAAAAAAATTAGATCCATATAATCTCTGTGGTATTTTGTTCTCAGCATCATTTCATACCTTTCTCTTGTATTACAGAATGTCAGAACAAACAAGTTTGTATGACTTACATAAGAAATATAGGCCGCGCCATAGCTCAAGCGGTTAGTCGCTGGCTTCCCACCGTGGCGGCCCGGGTTTGATCTCGGGTCTGGTCAAGTGGGATTTGTGGTGGACAAAGTGGCGCTGGGGCAGATTTTCTCCGAGTACTTCCGTGTCCCCTGCCAATCTTCATTCAACAAGTTGCTCCACAATCACCCTCACCTATCATCTGGGGCTGGTACAATAGGCCAGAAGTGGCTGCAGTACAAGGGACTTAGTCCCACTCCACTAGCAATAAAAAAATACATAAGAAATATTGTTGACTCTTCCAGATTGGACAGCAGAAGATTATGCACTGATGGGTGGGCACCAAGACATAGCTGCTGAATTGAAATCTCCATCAGAAAGGATGGTTATGTCTTTCACTGAAAAAAGTATAGAATCTCAAAGTCGCAATAGTGGTATAGCACCTTCGAAACGGTCAGTCTCAGATGCATCTCTTCCCCCTGATCAGCAGGAACATGAGAAAGAGGTAAGAGCCTCATTTGTGCCTGTTTTTTCTGTGAAGCAAATGACTAATGAAATCCATGGTACAAGAGCTTTCTAGGAAAGTCATTATTTTAGAATGTGGTCTTCTGGGTTGCAACGCTGTGGAATCTTGTAGGTTGATAGCCATTTCAGAGGAACATGCTGCCTTGAGTGTTGATTGATTGATTCATTCATTCATTTTATTTGGCATTCATAATTGCTACAACAGTAACACTCGAACAAGTCACATCATTAAATACATCCCCCTGGAAATCCTTTTGCCCAAATGCCTAAAGGATTAGAATTTGTCGACAATAATCGCTCTTGACATAGTTAACCTATAATTAAAACATAACAAACACACTGTGAAACCAGATAAATAATTATATTAGATACAATATGTAAATCCAAATGCAAGCCAACCTTATGAGTTTATCAAGAGAATTTTAAGAGTATTACAGTAAATCAAAGAGCCCTAGATATGACCATGTGAATCGCCGAACACGTTAAGATAATGCAAGCAACCATTTGCTATCTATTTCCAATGCTGAATAGAGGTTTTCCTATGTTTACTACTGTCCCTCTAAGACAAACTCATACAATGTATAGAATTGATGAGCTAGTAAATACTCTTTTAGCCCACGTTTAAAGTCTTTAGATTCATCTGATTTTATTAATTCCAAAGGCAGTTATTATACAGTTTAATACTCATATTGATAACACTTTTCTTAAAAGTTGATATGTTACAATTTGGCACATAAGACCATCTTTCCTTCTAGTATTGTATTCATATAAATCTGAATTTAGTTCCCTTTCACTTTCCTTCTTTGTAGGATACAAATTCTGCTGAAAAACAGAATGAAGAAGCTGACAATAGTGATACATGGAATGACAGTCAGCTGTCAGATTGCAGTTTGAAACAGAAGGTTAGTAGTATATTAAGGTATCTGCAGGATGTTGGACTTCCTAAGCATCATTACTATGTTCACTTTTTGTTCACCCATTTGTACCCATGAAACAATTCAAGAACCACTGAACAGATTTCCTGTTAAACAGTAATATTTTCATGTGGCAAGTTGCCCCAGATGACTTCGTTTCTTACTGATAAAAGCAGTTCCCAGAATCCAAACCAGGGGTTTGTCAGATTATACGATAGGTAATTGGGTATGCTGATGGATACAAGTTCATGTGGATGACAACTTAGTTAAGATGCATGATGACAGGAAAATGAGAATTATGCTCCATAATCAGTACATTTTCTTGCCATGTATAACCAGTTTATTCCATTATTGACAAATTTGATTAATTATTTTTCCTGTCAATATGTATCATTTTCTTATGTTTGCTAAAATATAGTATTTCATGTTCATTTTACAAACCAGATTGGCATTTACAGGGTGCAGGTCTGAAATTGACAAAATTTCTTCCACCTTCCTCTGATGATGAAATTAGTGAAGAAAGCATTCACAGCCCTAGAGTACAAGAAATGAAAGATGAAGAAATCCAGGATTCTCCTCGATCTTGTGTCATACCTCCTCCTTGCAAGCCACCTAGAAGTTGGGATCTTATCCAGTCTGGAGTGATAGATGACCCAAAGGTAGGGATGAAAGTGTGTGATTCATTAACATGATGTTTCTATAGAATAAAGTCTGCATACAGGTGAATCTTATGTTAAAGCAATCCCTCCTCAATAAAGAAGAAATATCTTCCTAATGTTCCAATCTAGATGAGGCTAGCAAGAACTGTTAATTAATAGATACATAATTTAGTGACCCATTTCCATGCCTAATTTTTACTCATAGATTCTGATTATTGTCACCTGATGGTGACTGTACACAGTTTCAGGTTGGAAATTGGATTTATTTGGCACCAAATTCTCTTATCTACAAATGGCTACAGCATTTGTAAGTGTTCATAATTGTTCACATTTCATTAGATTGTGCTTGTTTGGATCCTTGCTGGCTCTGTCATTGTGGACATGTTGCTAGGTTGCAGGCTGTCTGGTCACAGACTCTACATAATGCATTCTGTTGTGGCTGGGTCAAGTTCGGTAAATTTCTGTTGGCTGTCACCAGCATAGTCAGTCTTGGTTCAGAGTCCCATGGGACCCATGACCATGTTTTACTGTCTCACAACTCTGGGAGTCATGCAGTCATCCCTTATCCTGTTGACAAATGCATAGTCTGCCTCGCTCTGGATGAAGTACTGTGGTAGCCTGACAAGGACCCATTCGATCAGCTGCTTGATCGTAGCAGCAGACTCTTGCAGCAACTTTCAGGTAGGCTGTGAACAGTGGATGTACCCCGTAGCACCTCAGTGATGTCCTTATACCTCACTTCTGAGACATCGATGGTCTGCCCCTGTAGAATGGCCAGCAGTTGTGTGGCTTTCTCCTGGGTCATCCGGTTGTGCTCTGCCATGGCCTCAACTTGGCAGTGAAACAGGGTCCAAAACGTGGACCCATGAAGTGTCCATGACCTATTTGGGCTTGACTTCTGCCACTTTCATTCTGAACTCCCACCATGTTGCTTTTACCAACATCTTTGTCACTTGTATATCCAACTGTGTCCCTTGGATCTTCATGTTTAGTTCTTTGTGGAGGCTCTGAGTCTGATTATCAACAGTTGCCAGGATTCCATCTTCCTCATTTGTTGATGGTTGCTTCAAGTTTGGACTGAATGGCTTTTACCACAGTCTCCATCTTTTCTTGGCAGGCCCTTATTTTCCCCCTCATCTGTTGTTGGTTGGCCTCCATTCTTTTCTTAACTGGCCTCCATGGCATCCCTCCTCTCTTCCTTTCTGGTCATCATTTCGGTCAGTGGGCGTTCCAACATCTGGCCCATTCCCACAGTGCAGTCATCATATTTCTGACACAAGTTGTCACATGATAGTATGCATGGGTTCAGGTTGGGAATCAGGTTCATCAGACACTGAATCATCTTGTTTATGAATGACTATAACATTTTATAAGTCTTCATAATCATATACAGTCTGTTAGACTGCTCTGGTTTATATCCATGCTGAGTCTTTCACCACAGACACATTGCTAGGTTGCAGGCATTCTTGCTGCAGACTCTCTGTTGCATTCTGTTGTGCCTGACTCTAGCGCTGTTTCTGGTATGCTAACTTACTCCGGCTTGTAGACTGACTAGAAAATCCTGCCTCTAACAGTCCCCAATTGTTGTGCATGCATTCATAGCAGAGAAACGTGTTTTAACAAGACCTGACAGTGGACGGTGGATGCATTTGTGACATTTCCATGATTCCAAGGTTCTGAAACATCTTGTTTTCTTAGATATCATGTCACACTGTCTTAACTTGGCAGATATAACTTGAAAAGTTTTACACTGACTTATCAACATATTTGATTCAGCATTTATAGATATGTTCGATGATCTGTTTGTGTACCTGCAGTGGTTTCCTAGTTACTGCAAGCAAACCAAAATGTAAATGTAAATTTTATAGTCACCATGTTGTCTCACATTATATAAAAGTTATAAGAGATGCATAATTTTTTAGGGACCATAATAACACTGATATCATTTTCATCTCAGAAGTTCAAATGACTTCTGTGTTGGAATGTGGGAAGTTAAAAGCATGAAGATTGAATGGCCTCTAGCAGCATGATGTTCATACCAAGTTTAAAAAATCTGTTGAATTTCTCAAATGTTGCTGTTAAGGACATGTGCGTGGACATAAACACAATGAGACTAGAAGCCTATATATTTTCATATAAAATGATAAAATTAGTAAATATGACCACAATACAAATTCTGTATGCTGGATATGGTTTTGTTGCTCTGTCTTGTTATGTTTAATAAATAATGTAATTTGAAATTGTAGCTAGTGACGTAAATGTATAAGGTCTGAGAAGTTAATTTTCCTGTTAGACCTCTTGAGGGAACCAGTAAATTATACAGTAAAATTGTATGAAACGTTTTGATGTGCAGAAAGCTTAAAGGACTCTTATCTGCAAGATACACACATGATGAGTTCAGTTTAGGCTTCATGTAAAGTAGGAATTATAAAATTAATGGTATGCACAAAGAATTAAATTCATGCAGCAACATTTATTAGGGATTCCCCATATTCTGTTGAATCATTGTGGAAGTGAAAGATACTGATGGAGTAATTGACAGAGGTGTCCTCCATAATCTTCATTCATTTTAAGACTACGTGAAAGAAAATTGAAATAAAATTTAATAGTCAGCTATATTTTCTTCTTTTATATAGGATATAAAACAACTTTTAAAGAAGAATGTCGTGTCAGGTATTGACACTTCAAATCTGATAGTACAGTACATATTTCTATGATTAGGTTCTGGAGCCTCGTCGACGCAGTCTTTTACCGCTGGGTTCTCTAAAATCAAGACGTGAAAGCTTCAATGAGTCCCCCAGTGCTGCTGAATCCCCAAGCTTCCATGGTGATAATCTTCATAGAGAGCAAAGTGATGCTGATCAGTGGCATGGTAGTCAGAGTTTTAGAAAAAGTGATGACAGACAAGACGCACTGACCCGTCATTTAAATTTATCAGAAAATGAAGAAAATAGAGACAGTCCATCTACAAAGTATGAAGGCATTCAGGTGAAGGAGAACAACTCACAACTACATAAAGAAAAGAAGGAAAGCTCTCCTTTGGTTGGTGCAGGAGGAGGTGGTATGTTGGATGACATCAGATCTAGCAAGGAAAGTTTGAAGGGATCGAGCTCCAATAGCGACTGGGATAGTGATGATAGTTTGCCGCTGGATAACTATTCTGTTGCAAATGTAACTATAAGTCCAGCAGATACTAGTGATTCTCCTTTGAAAGTTTTTAGAGTCATTAATCCAAGTGAGCTTGATGTACCTGATGTTACTGATGACACTAAAGATGGCTCCCCATACTCTTTGAATGCTGAGAAGAAGAGCCGATTTCTGACAAGAGCTCCCTCAATTGACTTGACAGACGATGATGCAGAAACTGGAAAGCGTAAGCTTGGTCACAGTCCCGAAGCCTCTGAACTGGAAAGGCACGATGAAATAGATGTAAATTGTTCAATTTCAGGTACTCTTGGGAGAGATGGAACATTATTAGGCTATGAAGAAGTATGGGAATCAAATGCACATATCCAAAAAAGCAATGTTACTTTTTCTGGTCCATCTTTGAGTGCAGGCGATACCCACATCTCTATTAAGGAAGAATTTGAAGAAACATTGGTTTGGAGTTCACCTCAGATTGAAGGAAATAATAAAGGATTGGCTTGCCTCGAGCATTCAAAAGAAGTATCTGAAAACTGGAACATTCCTGAAGACACTCTTCTGTACTCGTCACCTCGATTTGATAAAGCCAAAAGTATTGCTGTTTCAGAAAATGATGTTTATATGGAAGGAGCCAAAAAACAGACTTCCATGGATGATGCTGATAGAAGAAATGGTGGTCTAAAGTTAGAATCACGTTCTTTGGATGCGCTTGAACCAGAGAAATTTGTGCCAGATGCAAGGATACCCCGCACAAAGAAACATGCCCGTCAGCAGTCCATTTCATTGCAGTCATGGAGTAGAAGTGAGGAGATGCATGAGAATCCACCATCTGCAGCAAATATTGATAGGATGATTGAAGAGAACCAGCGTATCAATGCACAGCTCAGGTGTTATGATGAAGCATTGCGAGATCTTGCTCACGTGTCTGTGGTAAGGAAGCAAAGCTCATTGTCTCTTCCTCGTGCAAAAGAGACATCTGGCTTGACAAGATCTCAGTCAGCAGGATCAAGAAATGAAGGTTTTATCTCACTGCCATCAGCAAACGATTTTGGTCCAAGGGAAATGGCACAGTCAGCAATTGTAAAGAAACAGGGGTCCTTGTCTTTACCTAGAACAAGTGAAATACCAGATTTTACCATGGTTCAATCATTAGGACCCAAAAAGCAAGGACACTCATCTCTTCCTTGTACAAATGAATTTGGTACAAGGGAAATGGCACAGACTGCTATTGTAAAACGCCAGGGTTCTTTGTCTTTGCCAAGAAGATGTGAGATACCAGACTTTGCTTCTGCAGCAAATGAAGAATATTTGTCTCTTCCACGTTCAAATGAACTGATAGATGAGGCATTTAAAGAAATAGGTCAGTCATCTGTTACTATGAAGAGGGGATCACATTCCCTGCCTCGTTCGATTGATGCAAAATTGATATCTTTGGGTGCAGATCCTGTCCCTCCTCCAAGACATAAAAAGCCTTCCCATCGGAGGAGGCGAGCTGAAAGTGAAGGAGAAGCTTCTGACAGGGCCTTGAAAGATTCTGTTGGAAGATCACGTTCATTTGATGTTAAAACACAATCATCCATTGGAACAGAACCAATTGCTGCCGTTGTAAAATCACCAGTAGAAAGTGAGGTAACAACAGAAAGCATAGGTAGCCCAAACAGAGATGAGAAACCACGTTCAGAGAGTATGTCTAGTAATGGTAGTGTGAAAGAAGGAAGTCTGGAAAAGCCAATTAGGAAGAAAAGAAAAATGCTTTTAGCAATGAGAGGTTTCTTAGGACAAAATCTTAAAAATTTAAATGGCAGTACTGTAAGTGAATTATCAGTGGAGGATTCCTTCGATGAACATCCATTCTTGATGAATACAGATAAAAGTGGACCATTGGAACGACAGGTAACTGTTATTGAGAGGCCAGGTTTCTCTCTCAAAGGAGATAACTCCATGATGTTAAGTCCAGTGAGGTTAGAAGTACTGGCAAAGCAAGAGTTACAGCAGCAGTCACCAGTGAAAGAAAATACTGAGATCATCCATGATACACAGACATCTAGTTCTTTACCTGAAGAAGTTCCTCTGCATGTAGAAACTGCAAGGTTGGTCAATCATAATGTTTCTTACTTTGAATTTTTGTTTAAAAACAAAATGGAAATAAGTGCATGTCATACGAATGCAACTTTTTGTCTCATAGCATATTCACTTCTAGCATGTCAACATGAGGGAAGAAATGTATTGTCTTCATTTCTGGTCCCTTACAGCAAATTGTGGAATCTGAAACAAAGTTTCATGTACATTTCTTCTAGCCGGGAATTATAATAAGTTTTGGACTTCTGATAATGTAAGGTATGAGTTCAGTTATTAATTGCTGACCAAATGTAGGCTGGAAAACTTGTAGCAACCTTAAGATTACTATCTTCTGGGGTGTGACACCATGCTGTCTGGTAGATTGTTATTGATGTTCTTCCGAGAGTTAGGAAACAGTCTACCAGGCTACGTGGTGTCACATCACAGAAGACAGTCACCTTCATAATCACTACTGTGAGAACCTCAAATCTTCCAGGGACTTGGGAATGCTCGGTGTATAGCTGGCTGTGAAGTACTCTAATGAAGTATGAGAAGAGATTTTTAATGCGCAATTGGTAATTTAAGTTTAAAATGTTGTACATGTGCGTATAACTTCAGTGATCTTATTTTGATGTAGTGTGTTATGCTGTGGGTCAGCTGTAGCAATTGACTGGACTCTTTGATATTGTTTGAAGTGTAGTACTAGTGGGTGTGTAAGGTCATGTGATGTTAGGTATGGGGATGTAGGGACAGGGGAGGGAAGGAGGGGTTAGGGATGGGGCAATTTTCTTATATTTTATTGTGTTTTGTATATTATATCAAATGTGGGTTTCCTACAATCTTTGAGTTTATAATTTATTTGTTGCTTTTGTTTACAAAGGTTATATATGTAAAAAAATCTTTCCAATGTGTTTAGTAAGTGGCCTTCTTTTTCTATATGAAGTATGTTCATTGTTTTATTAATTGTACCATATGTGTGTGAACATGTATAGCTTGTTTCTAGAATATTATTGAATTTGTCAACTCCTGACGAATTACACCTCATGTCCTGTAAAATAAATACTTCCTTGGCTGGTATTTGAACAATAAGGTAAGAATCTTGGTTCGCTACACATACAGCTTTGACTTGTAGAAGACAGTAAACAGTTCCCATTGATTACTAGTGGCCTCATATTAATGCCCAGTTGTGAGCTGCTCTGCATCAGAAGGTGTCTAAATTTTAATGTGACTACAGACATTAACCACTTCAATTGCACATGTTGTTTATGTATAGAGTGACCTGACATCCACTTCTCAGCATGTGATCAGGATTAGTAAGTATATTTTTAAGGTGTGATGCTTTTCAAAGTAAAAACATGGAGGTGTCATGAAAGGCACTTAATTTGTTGTTGTTGTTGTTATTGTTGTTGTTGCTGCACTTCATCATCAAACCAACCAGGCAGGCTCAGACAGTAACACTCCTGACTTGTATTGAAGAGATGACTGGTTCATACCTTGACTGGGGCACTATCTATCATGATTTTTTTTTTTTTTTTTGCAGTTTTCCTCACTCCAGCTAGGCAAATGTTAGGACAGCACCTTAAATCAGACCATGACTGCTTCCTTCCACATTGTTCCAAATTTATTATTCACTCTCAGCCAATCATCCCATGTTATATAACCTGAGTTAGAGACAGCATCAATAAATAACCTACAAATAAATGACAAATTCCTTTTCTTCAACAAACTTGTTACAGTGCAGTGTTAACTCTCGTACTTTGTGTTTCGGAGACTCCAGGTATGAATTTAATCCTAGAGGTGAGCTATTATAACTGATGTTTCTCACGGTTTCTTCATTCCCTACAAATGCTGGTATACTACAGTAAAACACTCTTTAGAAGTTTTCAGGAAGACCAGTCAGTGGAAACTTCATATGCACGAAAACATTTTAAAACAGTTAAATGACTATTCCGAAGATACTAAATATGTGATATGTTAGTTTCATAACATTAGAATAGTGCTTCTAATTTGGAAAATCTTTTTACATGAGAACCATATAAAGGAGATTAAGAATAGTTTAGTTTTTGGGGAAAGTTTTGGGATGAAATACTTTCAATATCTTAAGTGGGAAAATATCTCAAATGGGAATTTCTGAAGTAACTTAAAATAGGTAATAGGCACTTACTTCCACATCGTTCCTAACCATTCATTCATTTGAGACCACATGGCTTTGGAATTTAGTAAAGCATCATTAGATAAACAAATTGTTCTCACGCACACAAACACAGCCTACAGTGTGGTTCTTCATGTGGTTCCTGATTCAGCGACTCCTATTTATGTCCTCCTTACACGATGTGTGTGTGTGTGCACGCACATGTGTCGTTTGGGGGGCAGTGCATACAACTTCACAAGTATTATGCAGTTGTTATGTTATGAGGCATTGTTCAGTAAAATAAACGAGAGGTTCTGGGATTAACTAATACAATTTGAGTATTTGATGCAACAAGTAGAAAAACTTTGCTATGCATGCTTAATGAAGTCAGTAACACAATACAGAGCCTGCAGTGTTCATATTACTAATAGAAGGAGTTTATGAAGCATCCTGTGGAGATGGCCTCAGGTGGCAAGATGTACGTACCGAGTTCAGACGTTCAAGTAAGATTACGGTTATTACCTCACTAGTTTGAGAGGCTGCAGTGCTGGTATTACCGATGGGAGAAATTTATGATGTATGCTTTTGAGATGTCATGTGGCATGATATACATACCAAGTGTCAGGATGATTGATTCAGGTGTTCAAGTATTATTAAGATTGTTACGTCAACAGTTTGAGAGACTACAGTCTTCATATTGCTGACGAGCAGGACTTACAAAAGTATGCCATTGAGATGGCCTCAGGTGGCATGATATACATCCCACAGAGGGACATAAAGTATGCCACTGAGATGGTTTGGGCAGCATGATATGCATTCCAAGTTCCATGGCAGTCAGTTCAGGCATTCAAAAAATATTAAGGTTATTATCTCAGCAATTTGAGAGACTTCGGTTTTGGTCTAAGTATGCTGTAGAATAGTCTCAAGTGGCATGGTATACATACCAAGTTTCATGGCAATCAGTATAGGCCTTTAGGTAATATTAAGGGTATTGCTTCAATGATTTGAGAAGCTGAAATGTTGATCTTATCACAAATCTTGGGAGACTTCATTCTAATCCATGGCATTTCTTTGTACTGAAGTGAAGTGGTGATTAATATGGATATTTCTGAATCCTTTATTTGTATTTCATTGCAGTGACAATGAAAGAGATGAGCAGATTTTGCCAGACACGCTGCAGAAAGGTATGTATGGTTCTTTGTTTTGCTTTTTTTGGGACTAAAATATTGTACCTCAGTGAGGACAGTTTGTGTCCCAGTGAACATTCAAACTGAATAGAATTTGAAAGCATTACCACGTGAGTGAATTAAAAAAAAATGAATACAGATTCACATTTATGTAAAATAAATATTTCCATCAGAATTAGTGGCATTCTTGGCATTCTTTTATGGAAATCCTGTATATGGAGTTATGAGATATGGCAGTTCAGAATATTACATATGTATTGTGCTTGTTGTGCTTTTGGTAAACCAGTATTCTTCAGGTGAAAGAAATGGGCATCATAAATCACAAGTAGTGATTCTAGTTATTTGTGATTAAGCAGCAACAAGGATTATACTCCTATGCTCTTTGATTCGTGCTTTTCTGATTGTACTTATGAACAGGCATATAATGAAATGTTGTGTTCTCTCTTTTATGTTAATTTAAAGTAATTAGTTACATTAATTGTCACTAATTAAATATTTCAGCAAGTCCAGAAACCCTGAGGGACTCGCAAAGTGATGATGCGGAAAGTGGGCTTTCATACAGTGATAATACTCCACAGCATGTCTACACGCAGAAGGTACTGCATGCACCTCACAAGAACATAAGTGGTTACAGATGGCGGGGCAATAGCTGCTTTGAATAACAAATAATGTTGCAATATGATGTTCCTGTTATTGATTCTACTCATCATTACGCAGTAATGCTCTTTGGTTTATGCTCAGTAACAAGAACATGATATACATGCCTAACACAAGTAGCTCTGCTGAATAAAAGAATATCAAGTGGTAAGTTTATTTTAGTCATGACAGAGTGCAGACATCTGTTCTGTCAGATTATGTTGTTGATGTTGTAATGGATTTGAAGAAAGTCGTTTTCTGGGATCTGGCGCCATGTAGTCTTGGTTTTAACCGACGTTCCGGTGGAGCATATCGCCTCCATCTTCAGGGTAGTTGAGTTGCGTGCGAATACAGATAGCTGTAGCTGCAATGATTGGGAAGTGAAAAGTGGTGGTTTATATATGAAGTAGGCAGGAGGGGTTTGGGAGGGGGAACCAATGGGAAGAATGAACAGCGATTAAGGCCATATATGGTCTGGGGTGGCGAAAGGGGGGGGGATACCGGCCAGTGAATCCAGGCAACTTGGAAGTCAATGGCACAGAGGTGGCGGTTAAACAAGAAGAACCGGTTTCCTGGGGACAGACTATTGACGTCAGTGACATGAACCGGGGACAAGCTTCCCAATCATTGCAGCTACAGCTTTCTGTATTCGCATGCAACTCAACTACCCTGAAGATGGAGGCGATATGTTCCTCCGAAACGTCGGTGAAAACCAAGAATACATGGCGCCAGATCCCAGAAAACGACTTTCTTCATAGTCATCGCCGTGAAAACCTCGAAACTTACATTGTAATGGATTTGATCAGCACATTGCCAGGCAACAGCTCTATAAGCATGATTCAACATGCAACAGTAGAGGAAGCTGTGTTTTCTGTAGATCTGACTGATGTGCCAATATATGCGTTTACTGTAGGTCCATATCATTCCGCGGCTATGTAAGTAAGTGACAGAATTTCTTCAGGGCAGTTACGAGTTACGAGTAGTAGTAGTAGCAGGAGAAGTACGCGAACAAGCAAGCAAGCAGTAAGCTTGAGGAATACAGAAGAGTAGAAGTAGTCAGCCTGTGAAGATTTAACATATGATTATAAAACTTTATTTATGTGTAATATTTGGAGTGTGTAGTTCAGTTAGACTGAGACTGTGTTATAAATCCATGAAGACTAGTGCAGATAGACTGAAGGGATTAGTGTGACATGATTGTAAATTATGTAAAGCAGAAATAGTGTAATATTTAATTGTAGCTATGACCAGGAGGTGCTTAATAAATCCAGTTACCAATCCAAATCCTGTCTTTAGTCAACCATACACATGACACTGTTATTATTATTATTATTATTTTTATTCCTGTACTTAGGCATATATTTAACTTGAGCCTGTCTCAGCAGCAATTCCCTGGTGCATGGAAGGAAGCGACTATTATGCCAGTATTCAAAAGAGGCAATCCTGCTTGTGTGAGTAACTACAGACCCATTACCCTTCTTAACAACTTCTCTAAGCTCCTTGAATTCATTATTCACGATCATATTTCACATTACATTAAACTTCATCCCAACCAGCATGGCTTCACCAAATCCACAGCCACTAATCTGGTATCCTTCCTAGATATTATGACCCCTGTTGTCTGCAGTCAGCATCAGGCTGATGCTGTCTATTTTGATTTTTCTAGTGCCTTTGACCTCGTGCCCCATACTTTGCTCGTGCATAAGCTCAGCTCCCTTGGATTTTCTGATGGATACCTTAACTGGCT